GCTTGAGCTTTATCTGCTGGGGTCACTTAGCAGAAAATCTCTGGCCCTCTGCAAAAGTTCCTAAAGCCCATTACAGGGCTGGTTTTGACAGATTTTTCTCTTATAAGCAGGATGCTCTAAAGATGGCAGCAGTCTGATTGTAGTAAATGCTGTTCTAGGTATTTATATGTCCGGCTGGACGGCACCATGTCCATTAAAAAGAGAGCAAAGATTGTGGAGCGATTCAACAGCCCCTCGGTGAGTGGAACCTGCCAGATGTGAGCAGGTCTCCTGCCAATTCTGAGAGCTGCAAGTGAAAGTGTGGCTGCCTCTGTGGTCTAATCCAAGCCTGGCTTCTTCCAGAGCCCCGAGTTCATCTTCATGTTGAGCAGCAAAGCAGGTGGCTGTGGTTTGAACCTGATTGGGGCCAACAGGCTGGTGATGTTCGACCCCGACTGGAACCCGGCCAACGATGAGCAGGCCATGGCTCGCGTGTGGCGGGATGGCCAGAAGAAGATGTGCTACATCTACCGACTGCTTTCGGTGAGTCAGGCTCCTCTCACCTCCCCAACATGGAGCTCTGGGTGCCAGCCCAGGCTGCAGCTGCTGTGATTTGGGCCAGGAGGGAAAGAACTCTTTTTGTGTTGGTGACCAGAATTGATTGGAACTTAATTGCTTCCTGCCCTTAGATGTGTTGCCATGGAAAACCATGAAGGCTCTAGCTTGGAGGGTCATTACTGCAGCCCCTGGTTTCTAACAGTGTCTGGCTTCTGGGGAATAGAAACAACTGTGGCTTTGCAGATAAGAGATGCTCCTTTGAAGTCATTTAGGCATCTGACTTCTTTAATTTCATGGGATGTCTGATGCCAAAGTTGCTGTTTTTCAGGCTGCAGCCTGTTTAAGTTGGGTGTACGTGTGCTTAAGAAACAGCAGGTACATTCCTGGAATTACAGCAGCATTTGGGATGGGGCTGCCAGTTAGCAGGTGGGGTAGCTGCTCTGTAGTGGAAAACCATGAAGGAGACTAGTCTTTTCAGACTACTGTAACACTTTTTCCAGCAATGCCAGTAGTGATTACTGCTCAGAAATGTCCCTTCTCTGCCCTTGTTCACATTCATCTCCCATTAGTTCAGGCTGTGATTTCTTTTTTATTTTTTTTTTAAATGTGTATTTTGAGGGGGTTTGGGGTTTTTTTTTGAGTGTAAGCTTGGGTTCCTTGACCAATTATTATTTTTACTTTAACAAAACAGACATTGTTTGCCCATCTCTTCCTAATGGAGTTATGCTGCTTCTCTGACCTGGCTGCACTTGGAAGCACTGCTTTTAGAATTAGGAAACCAGTCTGCAAACATGGCTAATCACCCCCCTCCTTGGTATTATGTTTGTTTGCAAAACAGACATTTTGCTCTTAGATTTTTGCCTTCAAAATGTAGCACACTGGGCTTTCTGCACATCTGTTTTACAAGCAGTCATCTCCCTCCAGACAGGGTGTGATTGATCTGTGTGTGGGTGAGCCAGGAAATATTTCTGATGCTTGTGTCACCCAGGGCTAGCCCTTGTTGCTGTGCTTTGGCAAGGTTGTGCTGGGATTTCTTTGTCAGGGAGCAGCTGTAGCTGTTCAGCTCCTTTCCCTTCTTTCCTGTCAGCAAAACCTGGCACAGTGTCTGAGCTTTAGCTACGAGTGGTAGCTCCACTTCTTCCTCATCCATATGTCCACTGGATCCACTCCTGTAGCCACAGTGAAGGACAAGCAGAGTGGGGTTGGATCAGGAACCAAATAGCCATGGTTGGAGTGCAGCATAGTAAAACTTGCCTGTCATCTGTACTGGCTTGGCAAGGCACTGAGGGTTCCTGACAGCTTAGTGCTGTTTGATCTGTTTGATCCCCAATGTAGGGCTCCTGTAACACTGGTGTCCCAATTGTGCTTCATCTCTGACTCTCTCCCGTGTAGACAGGGACCATAGAGGAGAAGATATTCCAACGCCAGACCCACAAGAAGGCCCTCAGCAGCTGTGTGGTGGATGAAGAGCAGGACGTAGAAAGGCACTTCTCCCTTGGGGAGCTGAAGGAGCTCTTCACACTGAATGAGACCACCACCAGTGACACCCATGACAAGTGAGTAGTCTGAGTGATGAATGGCTGGGATAGCAAAAGAACCACTCCACAGTTTGGTCTGGTGATTCAGGGATTCCTCAGGCTGCAGGAGGAAACTCAGAGAGGGGGCCCCAAGCGTCTCTGCTTCTGAAGCTGTTAACTATCTGGGGATGAGCACTTCCTTGCTGTCCCCCCTTTTTCTTGTCTTAGAAAAGCTGTGCTGGCTGGACAAGTGAGCAAACTATCTTGTTGCTGCCTGTGGTTGGAAACTGTAAAATACTGCAGTTAGTGAAAAGAGAGAAATGGATCAGAGCTGCTCAGATTGGTGGAGCCCAACCTGGTCCTTTCTTGTCACTCTCTTCCTGTTGGTCTGTGATCTCCAAATGCTAAACTGCTTCCCACTGCTAGGGCTTCTCTATCTGCTAAGAATTCATGAAGCCAACCCAGGTGCTCTTCCGGGGACTAAAACAATCCTCCGTTGTCTGCCCTTCTCCCCCACTCCTGAGACCTGTGATATTGTAGCCACCAGGAAGAGAATAGGGAGTGCAGGAAAAATGCTTCACTGTGAAGGTTAAGATTCTTAGTTCAGCCAAGAAGTGAAGAGGATTAGTTTTAAGCTGACTCAAAGCTTAGCTCAGTGTCGGTATCCAGTCTGCATGGCAACAGCCCTTGCTGGCAGGGCTGCTGCTGCTCTTTGTCTCCTTATGTGACAGCTCAGTAGGGCATCTCCAAAACAGCCCAAGCACAACCTGGTGGCTGTAGTGGGAGCCAGGATGGAGCATTTTGGAGCATGGTGTGCTCTTTTGAGTTCAGGAATCCTGATGCAGCACTAAGAAGGAGTTAGCAGCAGTCACTCCAGAGCTGCTCTAAGCAACGTCCCACACCTTTCCAGGGAAACTCCACCTCAACTTCCTTTGGGTCCTGCTGGACTATTCCCATGTGGTTAAATGTGGAGAGGGAGTGCCATTAGAAACAGAACCTCTGGTTTTTCCAAAATGCATGAGTCACTCTGTATTTGTCACATGCACCAGAAGGTAACTGTGTGTTTAAATGAAACACGGTAGTAATTCAGAAACTGGAAATCCAGTTGTTGGTGTTACAGGTGGAGGGGGAGTTAATCCAAATTTTCCCAGGCTGCATTTTTAAACAACCCATACACTGAAGCAGCAGAGGAGCCTTGCACTGATCTCGCACCGACTGTGTTCCAGGATCAAGTGCCGGCGCTGTGTGAACGGACACCAGGTACGGCCCCCTCCCGAAGGCTCCGACTGCACCTCGGACCTGTCCCAGTGGCACCACTGTGCGGATAAGCGGGGGCTGCAGGACTCAGTGCTGAAGGCTGCCTGGGACGCCGCCGTCACCTTCACTTTCCATCATCACTCCCACGAGGAGCAGCGAGGGATTCCCTAACAGGTTACTGTCCCCTGTGGGGGCAAGTTTAATCCCTTTCAAGGAAAGGGGCAGTGGGTAGCTGTGCCTGCTGGACTGTTGTGTGGCTGTGGAATAGCAGAACAGCGTGGCTTCCGAGCAGCTGGAAGGGCCCTTGGCAGTGTTCAATCTACTGCGACAGCAAGGAGTTCGTGGCTTTATCTCTGCTGTGTGCCTGAAAAACAGCCCCTTGGGAACTGGGAATAACAGGACCTTGCATGCTTGATCTGACTTAGCACTGGTTCTCCTGCTGTTGGTGTCTGTGCCTTCGACTCAGCCAGGTGTAAGTTATGGCTGGAGTTTTAGAGCGCTTGATGTGCAGTCATGTGTTTGGTTTTGTTTTTTTTTTCCTTGACAGCTATGGCTTACAGCTGCTGATCAAAACTTGCAGGATCCATTTCTGCTGTGAAATGTGAACCTGGCTTATTACTTGGCAACAACAGGATTTGTACAAGGGAAAAAAATTTTAGCTTGTATGTTGAACATCTGACTGGAAGGATCATGCAGGCAGTAGAAAATCAGGCTCTATTATGGTAACTCATTTCTAAAACCACTTGCTTTGTTATGGGCAGGATCCCCTGATCTAGCAGAGTGTTTTAATTGAGATCACCTTACCAGCCAGTAATAAAATTCACACTTTAGTACATTATGGGTCTTAAATATATTTTTATTGTAAAAATGTTACAAAAGACCAAACTACTTAAAACCTCTGTAAAATGACTGCAGACATTGGAAAGGGGCAACAGGATTGCAAATAAACAGCGAGCTACTTGGTACATAAAGCATTTTTTTTGGTATAAAGTAAAATTTTCCAAATGGAAAAGGTCAAGGCCTGGGGCCTTTGTTAAGCTTATTTTCTACTCCCTTTAAGTGGAGGAAGGAGTTCTTATTTCACAGAATGGCTGAAGTTGGAGGGGACCTCAGGTGATACTGTGCAATAGCCCTCAAAAGCAAGGTCACCTAGAGCTGGTTGCCAAGGACCACAACCAGATGGCTTTTGAGTCTCTCCCACAATGGAGATGGTTATGGATGAGACGTTGGCTGAAACAACATGAAATGTGTCACAACACCCAGTGAAATAAATAACTGCTTGTTCAGAAATCTGCACGAAGTCACAGAAGCCCCTTTGATATATGTCCCACTTACAGTACTCCAAGGAAGATGGTAGAGTTTAGATCACCTGGAAATACAGCTGTTGACCCACATGGTCTTGTGTGTCACTTCACTGTCATACCCCTTCAAATGAACAGAAAAGTGACAAGAACAACTCTGTACTGCTTGAAGCAGGGGAAGAAACCTCCACCTGTGCTGTGAAATCAGTCTTCCTGGCCTGGGACCAAACTGCTTAGTTCAAGCTGATGGGTTTTCTCTGCTCCTGTGTCCATCACATGACACTGATGTAGTCAGCAAAGGCCTGGGAGGAGTCCCACGAGTCGTTGACCACACTGCACACAGCTTTGAGATGCTGAAGCGCTTCTTGAGCTGTTTCTGCATCCTGGTCCAGCCAATTTTGGAAGAGGCGGAGGTGTGTGAACTGAATCTGTCCCCCTCTCTGCTGGATGTGGCCTTCCAGCTTCTTTGTGAACTCCAGGAGCCCATCAGGTTTGATGCAATTCGAGCTTTCCAGGGAAAGGAAGATAAAAAATGTCATTAAGAGTCTAGGCTATAATTTGAGCAGTTTAAATTACTGTTCCTTCTAGTAACTGCCAGTGCAGGTACGTGGGGATGTTTCAAGGCTAAGTGCACCTTCAGCAGTACCAAGTGTGAAAAACAAAACTGAAGCACAGTAATATGAAGGGCTGGAAACATCTTAAAACTAAGGTGGTCACCACTGACAAGTTAAACTCATTATCCTCCTTACCACTGACTTAAGGAGATCTAGACGTGGCCTTAAAATGTTGCTGGACCCAAGCTGCTGGTGAAGCAGTGCCAGGAGCACTTCAGTCTTACAGCAGCTGTCAACTGCCTGGACCAAGGGGCTCACCCCAACCTACAGGTCCCAGCACCAGCCTCAGCAGTAAGTGATCATTTATATCTTCCTTCTGAGAAAATCTGAAGAGCATTTGTCAGGTCCTGGTGTTTCTAGGAGACTCAAAGGTCACTTCCCTTGCACAGATGTGTAAATAAATATCAAGTTGCATGCTGGACTTGAATCTTGTCAGAGGTACAGTAACAATCAGGATTCAAGGCTGCTGAAGGAGTAGCCATGGTTAAATAAATTGTCAATCCTGTGTGTCTGCAACCTGAGCCATCAGGATGTAAGGAAAGGGTGGGGGCAGAATCATGCAATGCAGTTGTTAATGTTGCAGAAATGCCACCCCCCACATACTTCATGAAGGTTACTGCCTATCCTTACAGCCACTCAGGCTCAAGAAGAGAGCAGCACTTCAGAAGAAAGACCAAAGATGAGGAAAGGAATGCAGAGGCCTCCACAGGATCTGACAGGCAATGACAACATTCCCTCCACAGGGGCAGTGGAAACAGAGCTGTTCATACTGATGGCTAAGAATAAACCTATAGGGATGTTACTTCTTACCTACAGCTTGGGGAGGGCCTGCAGCAGCCTCCCAAGGGAGCAGCAAACCAAAGCTGCTTTTAAGATGGAGCTTGACTCATTTATAAAGGGAACAGTGAGATGCCTCAGAGATGCTGGAGGTTCCTGAGGCTGTATGTGCCCATTGCAGTACTCTCAGCTTTTCCTGGGCACACATTCCCTCAAGGAAGGAACAAAACCATGCTCTGGTTCTCGTGATGCCAGAGCCCAGTTCAGCCGTGCCCCTCCCCAAACAAGAAATTCAGTGTTTAGTGCAGCAGAATACCTGACATCCAGCTGGCAAAGAGAAGAGGAGGAATCTTCAGAGAAAATGTCTGCAAGGGCAACCAGCCTGTGATTCCCTAAAAGGGGAGAAACGTCACTCAGATGCAAACTGAGAACTGGCTTGAAATTTTAAGTGGCCACAGGGCTGGGATAAGAGTGCAGAAAAGAGGCTGTAATGATGTGAACACAGCACAAAGGGCCCATCTCTGCCCCCTCAGTTTGTCCCCCTAAGTGACCTAAAGTGAATTCATTCCCCTGAGCACAGTGTTCAAGGCAATGAAGACATCTGCTCATAGGGCAGTTGTTTTCACTGGAAAAATTCTGGTTTTGTTTGAGAAGTCCATATGCAGCTTTGTTTTAGAAATTAAGTGTATTCAGGTTATGCCAAGATTTTCTGTTTTATTTCATTAAAAGAACAGAAAAGAATATTCTGGATTCACCTGAAATTAATTTCTCAAACATTTCTACTTGGCCTCTGATCCAAAAAGCCTATCATTTCTCAAAATTCAGTTCCACTTAGTCACAAACTTTACTTGTTCCCATCCCTCCAGTGGCTGCCAACAGCTGTTAAGACACAAAATGCCCAAACTTGGGCAAAATCTGCGCCTTTGAATGAGAGGCAGAACATCTGCTGCTGGATCTGTTCCTGTTCAAGAGCCTGAGGGAGATCAGCGTTCAGTCAAATCTGGAGACCTGCTAATACTTGCTTTTGCTGGAGAGAAAAGCAACAGTAATGCCCGCACGGCACTTGGGCCCTTGGTACATTGCTGATCACAACTGAAATTTTGCCTTTAAGAAATGAACCCAGTGCTCCTTACTTTGTGAGCTAAAGGCACTCTGTTCATGGATGTGATAATTTCAGCACTGCAGTGCCCCCAGCTGTCAGTGACTCCAGCCCTGAAGTTACCTCCAAGAGAGCTGGTCTAAGGCCCCTCGGCAGTACGCACCAAGGCGATTCCCGGGCAGTTTGAGGCTCTTCAGGGATGAATTTCTTTTCACTGTATTGATTATTTCTGACAGAAACTCAGCAGTAGAGCTTTCAAACAGCCGGCAGAAGGAAAACGTGATTTCTGCGGAAGAAATGGATTGACAGTACATGTGAGTGCTCCCTGTGCCTCATTATTCCATGATTACATTCTGCAGACAGCTCCAGTCCCTAATCCATATGGAATAACAAAGCTACTCCAGCCGTGGATTGCATATAACAGCACTTCTGCTCTGTCAGGAAGACAGCTGAGATCACACCCAGGGAAGTGGCTTTGCCAGCTGACCCAGTTAAAGGCTGATGTGCTCTGCAGGTTAAAAATCTTTGTTTTATAGCTGAGACTACAGACTCTTCTCTGCACCATACATCAGCCTTGCAGCTGCTCTTCTCTGCCCTGCTGGCACAAAGAACCAGGCACGTTCCCACTCTGCCAGCAGCTACAGATCTGCTCCAGGGACTGCTGACATTTGGCTAAACCTTACACGTCCAAAGATCACCTCTTAAATGTCAGCCAGCTGAAAGCAGCCACTGGCAGCATCTTTCCAAGCAACAGCACCCAGGAGTTTGCTGTACCTTGCAGGACGGGATCCTGAAGCAAAAGCAGAACTTCTTTCTGGTGCTCAGCCAGGTTCACATCATGAAAGCTCAGTTTCTTCAAATTTGGAGTACACTCTAAAAGCAAAACAAATTCTCAGGTAAAGCACTGTACACCCTTGACCCAGCTACCAGCTAACACACAGAAACTGAGCTGGACTGTAGGTAATTTGTGCTGGATTGTGGGTAATTAAAAAGGAACCATGGCTGACACCCATTTCCTTTTCTCACAAGACCTCAAGGATGTCCACACTGAAGAAAGCTACAGTGTGTGCCCCAGTGATGCTGCCCAAGGGGTACCTTTGAGTGCCTCCAAAAGGAGCCCGAGCTCCTGAGAGCAGGGCAGAGTGGCACTGTCAAGGGACAACTGCTGGAGGGACTTCGATGCCTTGAGCACTGGCAGCAGGAACATGGTGTGCAGAGGTTCCCTGGGGAATCGGATCTCCAGCTGCTCCAGGCAGCTTTCTAAGGGAAGAAAAACAAGAAACAGTGAGTGAGTTTGGCTTGGAGCTCCCATCTTCAATGTAGCTGGTCCCACAACAAGCAGGAAGGCTGTATGCCTGACACCACTATCATTTAGGTTGGCAGAAATTGCCTATGAAACGTGCCCTGCCCCACAGAGCTCCGTGGCAACTCAGACCTGTGGTAATGTCAGTCACTTACGGCTCATTCCAGGACTCCTGCCAGACCAAAGGGCTGCTAATTTCTACAGGGCTCTGGCAGTGAAATAAAGCTTGAGAAAAGGTCACTCGTTATGCACAAACCAGTCAGTGTCTCTCTGGAGCACAGGTCTTTGCTGAGCCCACTGCAGACTCGCTCACACTTTGCTCACTGCTTTTCTGGACATTCAAGGGCTAATAAGAGTGATGGGAACCTGTGAGCTCCCAGGCTGTAACCCAAAGGCTTGGCCACTGCTTTGCTATCTTCTGTGGTCCTGAGATGATCAAGGGATGCCTTCCCTCTGCTTAAGGATCTGTCTAAGTCTTAGAACCTCATAGTCAATGGCACGGACAAAAGGGAAGCTCCCAATCTACAGATCTGGTAGGATATGCTCCCCATGGGCAGTCACAGCCAGCAGGTTATGACTGGCCCTGTACGAAGCTGATGTTGCAGCAGGCTGGCATACAGCTTTCTCCAGGACTCAGGCTCCACAGAGCACCTCACAGACCAGAAGTGACAAACTGCAACATCTACATCAGAAAGGTGAGGCTGTAATTGCCTAGTAACACACCACTGTAATAGTGTGGAGTGAAGCGTGTGCCAAGCTTTTACAGCCCTATCTGCCTGCCACGTCCTGGTCATCACTCAGGAGTATGATTCCTACCTGGGATTTCTACCTCGCTGCAACTTGGATTTCCCTCTGGCCTGTTCCCCTCCGGCTGGTTTTTGAGGTCGAAGCTGACGGAGAGCGTGTGGAGCTGTGGGAAGGCGCTCAGGACGCAGCGAACGAGCTCCATGCAGGGCATGTGGGAGAACACGTCGCTCACGCGCAGCACACGGAGGCGGCAGCCCGGGTGGCGGGAGAGGGCCCGGAGCCCAGAGAGGATGCAGCAGATGTTGGCATCCAGGCCTGGAACAGCATTGGTACAGAGAGGCGTTAGCTGTGTCTGTACACACACCGAGGCACACGCAGCTGGAGCTGCACCAACGGCCACGCAACCTGAGTCAAAGGCTAAACTCACTGACTGCTGCATCCGTGTGTTCTAAAGCTACACTGTGCACGTGGGAGATGGAGATCCAGCTCTTCCCTTTGCCCTCTCTGAAGGGCATTTAAGCACAAAGCTGGGGGTGTTCTGGAGCAGAAGGGCCCCATCCTCTCCCTCAAACAAGTCCTCACACTGATTAAACATCTCTCCTGACACCCAAGATGAGGCACCAATGCTTTTACAATGCCCCTCCCAGTAAAAACAAAACCAGAGTAACACCCCAGCAGTAAGTCAGACCATTAGAGCAGGGCTGGAAGGAACGCCCTGTTCACAGCACTGACCATTATAAGACAGAACCAAGTTTTCTAAAGACACCCAGGAGCTCAGCAGGTTACTCAGAGTCCGACATGTCTCCCCAGTCAAAGGAATGGAGAACAATTCCAGAGTGGACACACTTCGGAAGCGGTGAGCAGCTTTCAGAGAAAAGATCCCAGCAGGTCCTCCTCTTTTCTTACAGCCAGCACGGCCAGTGCACGGAGATCCAGGGGAGGAACTAGTCCAGTTCTCTGCGTTTTCGTCCCCTGTGGTGCTGGTTTTGTCAAGTAGCCCTGAATTACCCTCTCTAGCAACAGTAAAAACAAAATCATACAGGTCTTCTGGGTCAGCATAGGGTCCCCTGCTCCGTCTGAGGCAGCGACGTTTCCTCCCCACTGTGGGTTTCAGCTGTCTGCGTGTCTTTGGAAGAACAGGGTGACAGGACAACTGCCCTGAGCCACAGTGAGGGGGAGATCCCCCCTGAATGCTGGTGTGGTCACAGGGCCCCTCGCTGCTGGCCTCCTCACACGCTTGGTTTCGCAGGGGAGAACTTCTTGGGACAGAGAGGACAGAGTTCAGGTGAGCATCAGCCTCCACTGGGGCATTGGGGAATCCCTTCTGGTTCTCACCATTGCTGCCCTCCCTCTCAGCATCATGGCCCCTCTCTGCTTGCTCCTGCACCAACTCCTGGCTTGGGGCTTTGTCCTCTCTGCAAAGGCCACACTGATAAGCGAGGGCATTTCCTGAGCGCCAAAACCCAGCGCTCATGCTCAAAATGAGAACGAGGAGAACGGTGTCGGGAACAGGCCAGGAATACATGGACACCTGGCTGACAGAGCCGTGGTGAATCAGCCGGTGGAGGAGCAAAACCAGCGAACGCCTGATGGACTGGTCGGAGGAGAGGAGGTGCTGGAACTTCAGGATGCGCAGGGAGCCAGCCAGGTTTTCCAGCACTTTGTGGTTGTGCTCAGCAGCGAGCTCCACGGCGCCCTGCAGCATGTTGCAGAGGGTGAGCTGGGACACGTGCGGGGAGCTGTGGAGCAGCGGCGAAAAGTGATGGTCGTTGAGGCGCCAGTCGGAGGAAACGTCCAAGACACCATGGAGAACATTGGAGAAGAACGTTTCAAGGAACTTCTTCCTCCAACAGGTTATATTCTGCAATTGAACAGGGCATAGGAACAAAAAGGTCAGCGTTTTTCTCGTTCTTTTTAAGATAAATTATTGCTGTCTGCTAACCTGGTAAATGCGGTGTCCAAAAACTCCTCCTGCTACCTCCACTGAGACCACCTTTCTACTTCTCAACATCCTTCCTCAGTGTATTCCTTGAAAACCTGAGTTTACTCCCACTGCTCTCTTCATTCTGCTTCTGGCCCAGTTTAAACATATTCAGTGGTTTGAAGCTAAGCCATGTTTTTGCCTGTTGAAAATCACGTCATTGGCAATTTTCTTCCTGAGCATCTATTTACAAGCTGTCATTAAGTTGCCTACTAATGATTCTTTTATGATGATGACTCAATGAAGCTGCTTCAGTTTTCCTACATAAAACCATTCTGCAAACTCACTGTCTTCTGTAAGTATTTTTCTCATCCTTTCTAAGACATCAGCACATGTTTTTACCAGCGTAGGTGTAAGCACGACATAAGACACTGTATTTATCCTTTGTTTCCCTGAGAATCTCTGAAGACAGAATTTATTCTTTTGGCAAACTCACTGTTGGGAGATGAAGGGTGTGGCTGCACACTTCCGTTCCTTTTATAAACCCTGCTTCCCAAAATGTTTGTGCTACCAGGGTCACGCCTTGGTCTGGAGCTCTATGAACGCTTATAAACAAGTGCTAGCAATTGCTTAGAAGTGGCCAGAAACAAAATCTCATGGAAAACGGCACCTTCTCCCACCTTAGCGTTTCCTCACCTCTGAGTTGGGCGGCCTGGTTTTCATCACGTCATCCCACAGCTGGCGCCAGATGGGCTGTGTCGAGAGGCCTGGGGGGAAAAACCATCAACGGGGTGCTTTCACCCCTCTCCCCATCCCGGTGCTCTGCCCTGGGGCTCACCGGGGTGCCGGGAGCACAGACCCAGACCCTGCGGCACAAGGACAGGCAGGGGGAAAACCGCCGCCTTTGACGGGGCACGAGTTAAAAATGTCAGGTTTTGTTGGTCCTCAAAAGGAGCGAGGTTACAGCAGGGCCCGCAGCGGTGCGGACGGAGCACGAGGGTTTGGATGCAGGGGAGTGTCCCAGCCTCGGTGGCAGGGATGGTGCTCTGGGGGTCTCCCCCCTCCATAGAGGGTTCACCCCCCTGGATCGGGGCTCCTCTCTCCAGCGGAGGGTCCCTCTAGTGTGGGACTCGTCCCTCCAGGTTTGGGGGCATCCCCGCAGCCTCCCACCCCATCCCTTTGGGAGCCCCATCCCTCCCGCCCGGGGGTCCCCCCCGCGGTCTCCGCCGTCCCGGGCGGTGTCACCTGCTCTCCGCGCGGCGCCCTCGGCCCGCTCGAGGCGGAAGATGGTGAGGAGCGGCAGGAGCCCCCGCAGGAGGTGCCCGGGCAGCGCTGCGGAGAGGGAGAGGGCGGCAGGGTGCGGGCAGGCCCGGGCCCCGCGCCCCGCCGCCCCGCGCCGCCCACGCCTTACCCCAGACGTCCCGCTCCAGGGCGCCCATGCTGCGGCTCACGGCGGCCGCGCTCAGCGCGAACAGGCTGCGCGGCCCCTCCGCCGCCATCGCCGCCTCGGGCACCGCCCGCCCACCCCGCGCCGCCATCTTGGGAGGCGGTGGCAACGGGCGGCCATGTTGGGGAGGTCGCGCCGGGCGGTGGGGCCGGACGGGCGGGGGGCGGGCGGGCCGAGCCGGCTCCAAGGCAGCGGGCCCCGGGAAGAAAGGATAAAGCGGGCAGGGAGCGCAGCAATGGCCGTGCTGGCTCTGTCAGGGGCGCGGCCGCCGCCGGCGGCCATGGTGGGAAGGGCCGCGCCGCGGGGGGAAGCCTCACCCTGGCGAGGCGGCGCTTCCGCTGCCGGCGCGGGCAGCGGCAGTTCCGGCGGGTGACCCTGCGGAGTCCTTCTGTGCGGCGGCAGCGCGATGGGACGCGGCGGGGAGCCCGAGGTGAGCGGGGGATCCTCCTCCCATCCGCCCGGGGGACGGCGCACACGGGGCGTTTGGGCGGCCGTAACGCTGTGCTCTCTTTTCTTTCCCCAGGAGGAAGAGGAAGAGCTGGTGGTAAGACGGGGAGCCGCGCCGGCGACTCCCAGGCTCGGGGGGCTCGGGCCGGGCTGTGCTGGCGGCCCAGGACCCGGTGGGCAGGGGGGTTGAGCCCAGGCCGCGACGCGGCTCCCTCCTGAAGCCATGGGGCTCGGGGGGAAGCGGCCTGTGGGGGTGTCCGGGTGCTCAGCGCGGCCCCGTGTCCGCAGGATCCCTTAACCACGGTGCGGGAGCACTGCGAGCAGACGGAGAAATGCGTGAAGGCGCGGGAGCGGCTGGAGCTGTGTGACGCCAGGGTGTCCTCCCGGTCCGAGACGGAGGAGCAGTGCACGGAGGAGCTCTTCGACTTTCTGCACGCCAGGGACCACTGTGTGAGTGCGGCGTCCCTGCTGGGGCTGGGGACGGAGCTGCCTCCAGCCGTGCTGCTGGCAGTACTGGCAGGTCGAGTGTGACATGCAGTAGCTGTTCAGTCAGAGGGAGCTCTGAAAAACTGTGTTTTCTTATTAAATGCTCGGTTCCTTCCTGTTACATCAGATCCAGCTGGGATTCAGTAGGTTATCAAACAGATAAGTCACACCCATGGCTTGTGGCCTGCAGATGGCACTTGGCTATTTCAGTCTTGTATTTGACATTTTACAGTTTAGCGTTTTTAACCTGAGCTGAAGCTTTGTAAGACGTCTCCTTTTTTTGAATGACTTGTTGCAGAACCATGAGGGGAGGCTGCAGGGCCATGTGCATTGGTGGTCCAGAAAACCAAGAGGCAGGTGGTAATACTCTGCTGGTTTCCATCCCTAAACCACGGATTACTGACGTCTCTCTCTCTCTCTTTTCCAGGTTGCTCACAAACTTTTTAGTAAACTGAAGTGAAGGTGGGCGTGAACGTCCACCTGCTTCCACAGCCGGTGTCAGCGGTTCCTGGATCACAGTTCTGCTTCCTGCCGTCCATCCTCCATGCTGAGCAGCAACAAAACGGCTTCCTGGCAGCGTGTCACTGCCTCTGTGCTCCTGGAAGATGTGAAGATGTGCAAAAAAACCATGTTGATGTTCTGTAATTTTCCGTATTAAAATGTTCAGAGTTCCCATGGAAGTGCTTTCTGTTTATTTCCAGGTTCTTGTGCTCCTGATTTGCACTGGGTTAAGGTGAAATCAGTATGTGTCAGAGCCCAGTTTAGTGGAGAGAGTCATCCTCACTTGTGGGAATGTCCTTTTTTTTCAGCCATGATATGCAGCAGCTGCAGCCCAGTCCCACGAGGAGGAATTTATCTGTTGGAGCCACAAAGATTATTTTCAAGATCCTTTTCTAGGAGAGAAAACTTCCTTCCCTACCCTTGGGGGAAAGCTGTCACCTGTCCCTCACTGTCTCCTGCTGCTGCCAGTGGCTGGAAGAGCCTCCTGGCTGCAGCCAGCTTTACCTCCTTGCCCAGGAAACCAAAAATGTGGCTGTGGAGGTCTTTGGTGTTGGTTCACCTTCTCAAACCCTGACCGGGTCACCTGAGGGACATAAAGCCTTTCTCTGTGAGTCACCAGCCCCTTCTGGTCACCTGAGACTGTCCTGTCTGTGCTCTTCCTTTTGTGAGCAGGATGTTCAGTAGCAGGAAAACTAGGACATGTCACAGGGCAGAAAAATTCTCAGCTGCTCTTCCAAGGGGAATTAAACCTGCCACCTTTTTAACTTGGCTGTTTTTTACCCACGTAGTGGTCCACAGTCTTTTTGCTGGTGGATTTCAATCTTAATCCCTAGAGGATTGAAACGGATTTTTATTAGGGTAAGTGTAACGTTACTTTCAGGAGTTTTTGTTGTGCGAGGTCCAGCACGTTTCTCCTGCTGCAAAGCCCGTTTGTTGCTGGATCCTTCCCAGCCCCAACCCATCTGAGTGATCACAGAACCACAAAACGGTTGGGTCGGAAGGCACTTCAAAGGTCATTTAGGTACAGCCCGCTGCCACCGGACCCGGATTCCCAGAGCCGCATCCCTCCTCGCCGGGAGCACTTCCCGTGTCCCGCCCCGGAAGGCGCTGTCGGGGAGCGATGGCGGCGCTGCTCGGGTGTCGGGCGGCGGCCGCGCTGCTGCGGCGGGGACCGGGATCGGGACCGGGAGCGGTGCTGGGAACGGGGCAGCGCCGGCACCAGCACAAGGAGAAGTGGGTGAGCGGGGCCGGGGGGTGGAGAAACCCTTCCCGACGGGGCTGCCGGCGCACCCGCACCCCCACCGCGCTGCTTTGCACCCGCGTCTCTCCCCGCTAACCCTTTTTGCACCCCGTTCCCACCTCTGACCTCCCCACTTCGCCCCTCTCGCTGCACCCTCGTTCCGCTGCTCAGTGCGCGGCCGTTCTCCCCCCGCGGGCCCACCCCGTGCACCCAGCCCCTTTCGGCCACCCATGGAATCGTGGAATCGCTCGGCCATTCGTGGAATCATGGAATATGCCGAGTTGGAAGGGACTCATCAGGATCGTCCAGTCCAACTCCCGGCCTGGCGCAGGACTCCCCAAGAATGACACCATGTTCCTGAGCGCATTGTCCAAACACTTCTTGAACTCAAGACAGGCTTGCCCACTTCCCTGGGGAGCCTGTGCCAGTGCTCAGTCACCCTCTGGGTGAAAAACCTTCTCCTGATATCTAACCTAAACCTCTCCTGAATCAGCTTCTTGCTTTTTCCTCAAGTCCTGTCACATTCGTGCTCCCGAACCCTCTCCGGGGCGCCACCAGCCTGTGGATGTAGGGGTTCACCTGTCCCTGCTACTTTCAGGGGCAGTGGAAGCAGCACAGAATCCAGTGCTGGATTCTCCCGGAAAAACGTGGAGGCTGGGTGGTGGTACTGGGATGCCAAACTATTTTCTCTTTTAATGTCTCTGGTATTTTTCCCCCCAAGGCTACCACGGCCCCTCGCATCCCGTCCACACGGCTGGCCCTGCACCACTTTGACTCAAGCTACAGCCTGCACCTGGGGGAGCTGTGGCCCTCTGTCCGTGTGGGCCTGCTCTGTGAGCAGAAGTACGGCGCCCTCCTCAACAACTTCTCTGCTCTCGACCACGTCACCCAAGAGCTGGAGCTGCTGAACGCCACCGATTTCGTTTCCGAAGCCCTCCAAAAGGCACAGCAGTCACAGCGGGGTGCAGCTGCGAGGGAAGCAGTGAGAGGCTCCCAGGAGGGCTGTGTTCAGGGCAGGACTGTGATACAGGCAGAGACAATGACACAGGCAGAGACATCGCCACCGTTTCGTGCCTCCATCAGCCCCAAAATCAAGTGTTACACCTTCCCCAGGGGTGACATCACGCGCTTTTTCCCTGCACGGTGAGACATCCCTGGACAGACCACCCACTCTCGTTGCCAGCCTTGGGGGCTGCTGCTTCCCTGCATCCCAATCCTCACTTCCAACTGCTCTTTTCTTTTCTTTTCCCCTTGCACATTTGCTTGTGTTATACAAACTGGTGATTTCCAGGCCAGACATTTTGGGGCTCCTTGGTTATTATCTCATGGATGCAGCATCTCTCCTGCCCGTCCTTGCACTCGATGTGCACCAGGATGACCTTGTCCTTGACCTTTGTGCAGCTCCGGGTGGCAAGACTCTGGCTCTGCTGCAGACTGGGCTTTGTGTAAGTGGAGGTGGGTGTTCCCTTGTTCCCCATCCTTAAACAGGGCTGGAAGAGTGTGCTGTGCTCATTAATGTCTGACTGTTAATCATTTCTAAGAGTTGGGAATCAGGTGTGTTTTTGCAATTCCCGGTGTTCCTGTTGTGTCCCTGCAGGGCATCTGGCAGCCAACGACGTCTCCATTTCCCGGACAAAGAGGCTGCACCAGATCCTTCATAAGTATATTCCCAGAGAAGTCAGGGAATCTGTGAGTGTCACGTCCTACGACGGGAGGGACTGGCAGGATGTGGAAGGTGACACTTTCCATAAGGTAGGTTATTGAGAACTGGTGAAGATAAACCCTCTTTTTGAGGAAGGCAGCAGCTTATCCTACAGTATAACTGTAGTTTTCCACAATCTGAAATGCAGAGAAAGAGAGAGGACTAAGACACATAGGGAGTAATATTTCCTCCTGCTATCCCTTCCTTCAGGATCCGGTGCATATGTGCATCCAGAGTTAAACCTTTATTTGCCTGTGTAATACCATGTAGAAGTCCTGTTCTTGTCCATCACCTGGAAGGGGTTAAGTGTGAAGATTAGATAATTCTGTTTTCTCAGCCATGTCCAGCCTCAGGGGCTGAGTTTGATGCTCTGGGAGGCGTTGCTGTAGGAGCACTGGCCGTGTGTGCTTCAGTGACATCTTCCAGGCAAACACCCAGAGGAGGAACATTAAATGAGGACATGTGTGAGTGTGGGATGTTTTCCACCATCTCTGGGTCTGTTTGCACATTCCCAAAATGCCAGAGCAGCCAGATGATTACAGTTCAGTGTGGTGCACACCCGTGCTCAGGCACCGGGAGCTGCTTGTGCGTGGTGAGGGCGGAGGAGGTGGGCATGGGGAAGCTGCACAGGGGGACTCGCTGAGCCTGACCTGGGCATGGGACTGACAGGGACCTCTGCTGCTGCAGGTGCTGGTGGATGTGCCCTGCACGACGGACAGACACTCTGCCATGGAGGAGGACAACAACATCTTCCACAAGAGGCGAACCAAGGAGCGTCAGATGCTGCCCATGCTGCAGCTGCAGCTGCTGATGTGAGTGAGCTCGATGCTGTGTCCTCATGCTGTTTGTGTTACAGTAGTAGCTCTCCATGGCCAGCACGGAAACCTCTTTTTACTTTGTCTGTCTCCAACTGGGAAATGTGGAAACCATGTGTAGTTTTCTGGAAGAGCAATAGTTGGAATGCATCAAAGCTTAATGTAAGTGTAAGAAGGTGCAAATGTTCTTGGTCAGATCACAGGTCCTGCCTGTCCCCAGCAGTAGCTGTAGGAGCTAGGGAGAAGAGTCTAAGGAACATGATAGGTATTGTGTTGTCCTCTTGGGTGATGGTCTTCCAGATCCCACTGATCAGCCCTGGAGGATTCCTGAGTGCCCACATCTCCCAGCACATGGGCTGCTCATCACCCCATTTTGCTGGGAAGGCTGGATGGACTCACTGTGCTGTGACAATAAGAAAACAGATTAGAGAGTCCCATGGCAGTGCTTGAACTGCAAGAGTCTCCTCCCTTCTACACGCTCTTATCCCATTCCCTTGGACATGACTGCAGGGTTATACCTTCCAGCTGCTCTCCAGTAGCATCTCTCCCATGTTAAATTCATTATCAATCTAAGCATCCATTTGACTCATTGCCCTGGCCTAAAACAATCCTCACGTTGCAGTGACACGAACTGCTGAGTCTGTGGAGTTCAAGATTTGTCTGTCACTTCCTATGAGTCACCTGTTGGCTTCCCAGTTCTGGTGGGTGGTGATGCCTGTGCCCCACACTCCTCTTCTTCCTGTGACAATGTGTGTGTTCATCTTGCCTGCAGGGCCGGGATCCTCGCTACCAAGCCAGGAGGAGAGGTGGTGTACTCCACGTGCTCCCTCTCCCCGCTGCAGAACGAGTGTGTGGTCGAGAGAGCGGTAGAAATTGCGGAAACCCAGTTTAACATCAATGTCCACGTTGAGGACTTGAGCCACTTTCGGACGCTCTTCCAGGACACGTTTTCCTTCTTCTCAGGTTGCCGGCTGGGGGAGCTTGTTCTTCCTCACCTCACAGCCAACTTCGGACCTATGTATTTCTGCAAATTACGTCGGATGTAGAAGGGGCAACAGACTATGTCTGTTTGCTGTCAGGAAATACCCCAAATTTCCAGGGAAAGTACAACTGCTTTATATTTATTTTTCTTTTTAAAATGTCCCAAAGGAAGTCTGCTTTTTTACTGCAGGCATAGAAAATAAATGAGAAAGACCTGCTGTGACGTCTCCTGAATATTTTATCTGTTTGAGACTGAGGTGTTTAATCTAGGAAAGAGAGGTCTTATCAGAGGGAGCGATTTATCCATCTGTGTGGGGCAGGATAAATGGCCCTGTGTGGGTGCTGCTTTCTCCCTCCTGTCTGACTGCTTTGATCCTACATGAGCAGGTTTGGGTTAACAAACACCATCTGGGGATCTCAGTCTTTGTCCCAGATCTCACCATCTGCATAAATGAGTTGCATCTGTCTCTGCTTATCTCCTGCCTTCAGAAAGAGCAGCCTGAGGTCCTGAAATCAGAGGTTCCTAAGAATGCCCCTCCTGTGAGGCTGAAAATATGTTTGTGATGCTGGAGATTTGGTGCTGTGGAAAGGCCAGTGACTGCTGCTATCCTTCACAGACAGGAAGGCTGTGGGAAAGTGTGAATGCTCCTGTGCAAGATGCCTTTTAATGTCCAGGGGGCAGGTGTTTGTATGATTCCGAATAGTAACTAGTTATAGAACCATAGCCATCAGTGAATGATTACTGGAGTTTATGAGAAGAGTTGCTTAATAGCTACATTTTTATTTCTGTGAGCAAAATACAGTGATGGACAGGGTGGACATGGCTGTATCCCTCACAGGGCAGCCCATATGAAGTTACTCCAGTGCCAACAAGAAAGTATTATTGAGATTTTGTAACCCGTTTCTCTCAGCACCACCCTGCTTCTGCAAGGGGCAGCATCGATGGAAATGGGGGTGAAGGGGTGAAAACTCACCCATGTCCATCCTTGCAGGAAGGTGCAGTGCATAGATTTATCATCATTTGAACCCAGCTTAAGCCAGTCCTGCTGTCTGCATGGCATCCTGGTTCCTTATTGGCAAGGAGAGAGGTCAGGAAATGGTGTTTCCTTCCTCCTTCCCTCCTCTTTGTAGTCTCTGCACTGCCAACGGCAGTCGTGCAGTGCTGTCCCTTTGGCCCTGAGGGGACCATGGGGGCTATGCCCCTCTCTTCTCACGGCTGAGGGTCTCCACCTCCTTCATGAACCGCAGGCAAAGCTCCTCCTGCCACGGCAAGGCCACACACTGCACTGCCACGGGCATCCCCACGGCTCCTGACGCAGCCTGCAGTGGGCACACAAGCAGTGAGGGGTTACCCCGGGGGCTCAGACTTCCAGCAACTTCTGGAAACCTGGTTTAGGCACGTGGCTCATCCCAGAGAGCGGGGAGGTTGTGGTTTGAGCCCTGCTCTTCGAGTGAAACTATTACTTGAATGTCAGTCATCAGTGTGCTCCACCACTTTCTGTACCTGTTTCAGCTTCCTGTCCCAGGGGTCATCACAGCATCCTTGGTAAAGCTTCAGCTCTTCCTCATCCGCTTCTGTCACTGTGCTGACGGGTACAACCCCAGCAGGGAAGTTCAAGAGGTTGTACAGCATCGTGGAGGAGATGCCACCTGAGAGCAGCAGAAGAGAGAATCCAGCCAGTCACAGCCTCCTGTCCTGTTTCAAACTTTCACATTCCATGTTCACTGAGGCCCCTAAGGACTGTGTGTCTGTCTCCACCTGATCAGGTAGCTCTATGGTCATTACTTTTCCTTCCTAATTCCCATAAAATGCTTAGGTGGGTGGTGAAGCTCCGGGTTCCAGACGTTTCTCTCCAGTCTCAACCACTGTGGTCCCTCTCGGGAAGGCCCCAGACTCACCAATGAGTTTCCCGGCATATCCCGTGGTGAAGGCAGGCCCCAGGACAGGGCACAGCACAACGTCCAGATGGAGTTCCTTCCACTGGGTGATGAACTCGGAGCGGTACACCTTGGGGAGGAGAAGGGAGATGACATGGAGCCCATGCCCATGCCTGGGGCATCTCAGCTTTTTCAGGGCGTGCACCAGGCTCTGGCACAACTGAGGAGGCAGCAGCAGTCAGCAGTGCTCGAGGGGAGAGGCAGAGGAATGCATGTTTGCCTCTACAGCACGTGGCCAGGAATTGGAAAGGTCCCTCTTTAGCCGTTCCCTCTCCCAGGACAGCCTTTGTTGTGCTGGGACTGTTGAACACGGATGTTTGTGCGTGAGCCTTGTGGGCAACCGATAAAGTCCTGTCTGGGCTGACCCAAAAGCCCATCTACCCATTCCTGTCTCTCTTTTGTGCCTTTCCCTCTGTCCTGTCTCTTCCCCAGCACCTCCTCTCTTTCACAACCCCATTCCAAACCGATGACTTTCCAACCTGGCACTTGCCAACTTGTAGCATGATGCCAGAGAGGAAAGTCTTCAAAACATACCTGAATTTGATGGTGATGATTCCACATCTCCTTCACTGACCTGCAAGTGGAAATCATAGCAACATCTTTAAGAGGAGGAGGAATTGCTTAAATAGGCCTCTGGGTTGATAAGCCCTGGTGATTTTAGCAGTTACTTAAAACAATACAGCTTTCACAATCTAAAGTTTCCTTTGGCATCTGGCCAAGCAATTAGTAGCAAATGTCTGGAAGTGCTGGAGAGAAGGTTTCTTTGATGAGTACTCTGGATTTAGTACTCCTTCTCTTCCACAGGCTTCCTGTATGAGCTTATCTATCCAAGTCCCTTAGTCCTGCCAGGATATCACTAAGGGCAGTGCAGCACTAGGGAGCTGTGTGCCTAAAGGCTGAAGCCATGTCCAGGATAGAAGGAAAACCCCTGCAGAGAGCAGGTCAGAGCCTGTTGTAAATCCAGTCCACCCCAACTATGGACACTTAGAGGAGAAGGTATTGCCCCCTTTTCATGGATATCCCTGGGGACGATGCCATCTTACCTCATTCCACTGAGGGCATTCAGATAGTCAGCCAGGCGGGGAAACTGGAAAGGCAAGAGGTTCCTTAGGGACATGACAGGGGAGTGCGGTAATTTATGCCACTCTGGGAAATCCCCAATCCTATCCTGAGGGATGGAGGCTCACCAGAGGTTTAAGAAGCAGAGCCAGCATCTTCTTTACCAGCCTTGGGATCTTGCAGGAATTCACCTGTGATTTCAAGCTTGGGTCTACGATATTTCCTGTGCTGAGAGACAACAAGAAGAGGGGATCATGCCAGAGAAGCTGTTTGCCCTTTCTCGGACACCTGAGTGTTGGCTGTTTGGGGTGGGAGAGATGGGCTGGTTTTGCCTGTGTTGTGCTCATAGAATGGACATGGAAATGTTTGCAGCACCACTGCCGGAGGGCTCCTACTTACAACACATCCAACCAAGCGCGGCCTCCATCGGCAAAAAACGTCTTCAAAAACAGTTCAGTCATGACATAGGGGATCCGAGGTGGAGAAAAGGGCACCAGCTGCACCAAAACACAGGATTATGTGGCAGCCTGGGGATGTGGATGGTTTCCAAAGCCTGACTGTGAATATACCTCAAAGGCAGAGCAGTGCCTTCCTGGGCTCCACATGCCAACTGAAGTCCCATTTCGACCCTTTTCCAGCCCAGGCATTTTCCCATGGGATTATTCCTCCCCGGCAGCCATGCTCAGCTCTGAGCACTCTCCAGAGCTGTTTAATCCTCCATCTAAGCAGTCACTGAACCAGAAACTGCAGCAGTTTCCTGCCTGTCCCAGCAGAATTGATGTCTCTCAGACATGGACTCACTTTGCTATGAAGAACACCACTAGCTCATTTCCACAGGTAGATCTAGATGGAGGGAAATGCATTTCCCTTCCCATGCCCTGGGGCCTTTTTCCCTCAGTGGTCCAGGATGGACAGAGATCTCCATGGGCGTTGGAGAGGAAGGAGAAAATCACCTCCCAGAACTGTGCTGGGGAAGGACAGATCTAGAGAATGCTGAGACAACCTTCCAGGGTCAAGTGCAGCATTTCATGGATGCTGCTGTCTGGTGTGATGGTATGAGAGCAGAGACGGATTCGTTACACCCTCATGGGCACGGGTTTGCTAATTGCTGGTGCTGTTTCCCCCCCGGGCAGGTGTGTGTCTGCGTGGTGTTGTGTGGCTGTGGTAACCTCGCCTCACACCTCTGGTAGGTCATTTATCCCACTGCTGGATTTGGGAGCTACGGCTTTTTTTTCTGAAGGGTGATTTCCTAAAGAGTGATTTCCTCAGTGAGGAGTGAAGCTGGGGACACCCTGGGGAGAGGAGCAGGGGGTGGTTGTGCTCACCTGGTGCCCGGCTGCCTGCAGGGCACTCCTGGTTTCCTTCACCGCCCGCCGCATGCAGGGGGGCAGCGGGCAGTAGCCATCGGTGTCGTAGTACCCGACCCTCAGGGGAGTGCAGCTGCAGTACACCTGGAGCAAAGAGACTCCACTTTAGCAGTCCTATTCCCAATGGAATTGCTGAGAAAATCCTTCAGACGTTAAGCCGCTGGCCAGATCTGGGACCAAGATTGAACCCAGCCACACCCAGGCTCTTATCAAGAGTTTAGAAAGCAAGGGAGTCCTCTCTAAACCTTGTGACTCAATGGGAGAGTCCCCCCTACTCCTTGTATTTCCCTATTAAATCCTTAGATATAAACTCTTGGCCAGTGTGGGACTGGGACTGGACTCAGCTGTACCTAGACTCTGTCAGGAGTTTAGAAAGCAAGGGGGTCCTCTCTGAACCTTGTGACTTGATGGGAGGGTCTTCCCTACCCTTTGCACCCTTGTCCTTTGCATCCCCAGTCTCCATGCAAATGATTTCAAAGTGACACCAAGCTGATTTTCCTTGGTATGTTTCATCTATATAATAAGTAACAGAGTGAACCCTGCCATCAAACTGTCATGCTTTTGCAAATTTATATTAAATAAAACCTGCTTTTTCCAATGCCTTTGACAGTGATTTTTTAAGTGACCTAAACCACTCACTTGTGACACCCACCCTGCTGGGGGTAGATCTGCCCCCATGCTGACACCCACTGCAGAAGGGGGCAAAAGCTCCAGGTGTTAGGGAGTAACTAATTTTCTGGTTTGCTGCTTACAGTTTCCATACGTTCCCCTTCCCAAATGTCTACCCTTGCCTTTCTCTCCAGCCTCCTTCATCTCGCCCTTCAGAGAGAGCACAGTCTCTCTACACCAGTAGATTCAATCACTGCTAGAAAGGACAGAGGTGAAAAAACCTTCTGAAGTTGGTCTGCAGCAGAGGGAAAGGAAATGCCCTCAGTTATTTGCTGCAGCAGTTTCTGATCTTGTCTCATCTTCCCCTAAAAATCTTCAGCTGTTTGCTCCTTCAGCTGTTTGCCTTCCTCCTCCGCTCTTCTCTGTGTTCTCTCAATCTGATAAGCTACATGCCCACTGAGGAGGCAGACAGGATAACTACTGATTAGCCTATTTTTCCCCCTAATAATTACGAATTGTGCCCTCGAAGAAACCTATGTTACTGGAAACCGGTACTGTAAAGACAACTGGACCCTTAAAGAAGCTGTGCAGCACCCTGGAAGGAACCAGGGCTTGCTGAGTTAAGGACTCACCTCCTCGTTGAAGGGGATGGGGGGCACGCTGGGGTCCAGCCGGAACATCTCCTCGCAGAGCAGCGCCCTCATGCACAGGGCCAGGCTGTCCACGTCCCTCGCCATCGGCCCCAGAGCACAAGGAACTGGAATGGGACAAGAGCAAATACCCACATCGAGCAGATGGATGTGCCAAACACTGATCCACCCCTCTGCACAGCCACGCTGCTGCAAGGGGTGGGCAGGCAATGAGGTGGGATGTTTCAGATGGACTCCAGATCGGGGTTGTCTCAGGTTTTCCTAGAGGAGGACATAGGGCTTTTCACAGGACACAGAGAAAAGCAATTAAAAATTCTTGTACCTGCCAGGATCCCATTGACAGGGCCAGTCACTCCAGACAGGCTTTTGGAAAAAAAGAAAGAAGTATATTGTCATTTCAGTAATAAGAATATATTCCCAATATACTTGAATAGCATAGTAGGGCCTTCAGTTCAGGACTGGATTCAGGAGGAAATTATTTCAAGTATTTGATTTATGTGAAACAAGAAATTTTGGCCAAAAGGAAAAAAACCCCTCTAACTGAAATCCCAACAAATCTTAGTTTTGTTTTAACCAAAAATGTACCATTTTGGCATTATTCAATCACTTTAACCCCCTTTTACTTTTATCTCCAGGCTAGATTTACAATGAAAACACGTCCATTTCCCACAAAATCTAACCATGCTGTCTGCTGGGAGAGGTTTTGAGCAAAGCAAGCCACCCCTTGAGAACCATCCTCTCTATTTCCTCCAAGCACTTGCCGAGTACCTTCCCCTTCGGCTGAGTTTGGCAATTAGCAGGGTTGGAAGGGCAGACCCCAGGACCCACCTGAGCCTTTCTGCCGTGGGTTTGAGCCCACACAGCCCACAGAAGCTGGAGGGCAGGCGGATGCTGCCCCCCATGTCCGAGCCGATGCCCAGGATGGAGCCTCCCCCTGCGATGAGGGCTCCCTCCCCTCCCGAGGAGCCCCCAGGGCTCTTCTGGTGGTTCAAGGGGTTCAAGGTCTGGCCAAAGATGGGATTGCTGCAGTCATAGCTGAGGAGAAGAAAACCAGCAAGCAGGCTGTCAGGAAGAGCCAAATGCCTTCAGTTTGTTTGCTTTTCCTTGCAGTGAGCCTGTGTGGCATAGCCAACCCCAACCTTTCATCCCATAGATCCCTCAGGACATGGCTCGTTCCCATGGGCCTCTGCTATCCCTCCCATGCACAAGTGCACTTGATTTCTCTTAACTCATGGTAGGTTTTTTTCCCCTCTTAATCTTATCTGAAAGCAATTTCAGTTGAGATTGTTGTCAGCTAATGGAAGAGGGGCTCTCCAGGCAGCATCTCGGGAGACAGGGAGAAGCCTGTCCTGGGACCTGCAGGCTGGATTTTACCTTCAAAAGCACAACCAGAGGAAGATTTCTAATCATGTAGGTCACCTGAAGAGGGATTGTGGCACGTTGGTCATTGCAAATGGGATGGCCCCTTGTCTCTTCAGAACTTTGACCAGGACACTGTCCTCCTTCATTGGAGTATCCAGGCATTGCACAAGCCCACAAGTTGACAGATGCCCCTGCACAGAGGAGAAATGACAAGGGACATGGTCAGCACAGTTCCCTTGCCCTTTTGGAGGGATGATCTGGTGTTCCCTTCAGGGGTTGTGTGTTTGATACTAACCCACTCCCTTGTGAGTCCTAGCATGAAGGGCCAAGGACTCCCTCTCCTTCCATCCTTGGCAGAGGGCTGCCAAGCATTCAGAGGGTTAAACCTTCTCCCAAAGCTGTCCTTGCTCTTCTCCATGCTCCTTCTCTGCCCTGACACAACTCCATAGGTGCACTAGCTCAGGATCAAACCCAGTGTCCTGCTGTCCAAGTGAAGCCACCAGTGGATGTTCAGGGAGGGAATATTCATCCCAGATAAATACAGTGTGAGAGCCTTCTTCAGTTAGCCTTGGTATTCAGGGCTTGGTTTGGGCTTAGAGCCCTCAACTTTAGTACAGACTGTACTGTGTCATGTATCAGAGGAGAAATCAATAACTATTGACCCCTGGAGTTTTTCCTGCTGATGGAGGTTTGTGCTGGTTTTGGCTGGAGTGGTTTATTTTCTTCACAGTAGCTAGTAGTGGGCTGTGTTTTGGATTTTGTGCTGTAAACAGTGCTGGTAACTCAGAGATGTTGCAGCTATTGCTGAGCAGGGCTTACAGGGAGCCAAGGCCTTTTCTGCTACTCGTGCTGCCTCGCCCGTGGCGGGGGCTGGAGGTGCACAAGAATCTGGGAGGGGCCACAGCCAGGACAGCCGATCCCAACTGACCAGAGGGACATTCCATGCCATATGGCACCATGCTCAGCATATAAAGCTGGGGGAAGAAGAAGGAAGGGTGAATGTTCAGAGTGATGGTGTTTGTCTTCCCCAGCCACCGTTACGCACGATGGAGCCCTGCTCTCCTGGGGGTGGCTGAACACCTGCCTGAACATGGGAAGTAGTGAATAAATTGCTTGTTTTGCTTTGCTTGTGTGCACAGCTTTACCTATTAAACTATCTTTACCTCAACCCGCAAATTTTCTCATTTTCACCCTTTTTATTCTCTCTCCCCCATCCCACCTGTGGGGGAGGGTGAGGCAGCGAGTGCCTGCTGGGGTTAGACCACAGCAAGGTTTCTAACTGCCAGGGTTGCAGCTGCAGCAAGATGTGGGGCCACAGCCTCACACATGGCCAGGTTTCCTGTGGTGCCTACCCCATTCTCTATGTCCCACCACTCCACCACCCAGCCCAGCTCATGGTGGGACACTTCACAGACACAAAGGGAAGAACCTTGTGTCCGATGTGATCCTTGATGCTGACGGGGATGCCATAGAGCAGCCCTTTCTCCTTCTGCCGTTGTATTTCCTGGAGCTGCTCCTCACACTCTGGGATAAAATGTCGCAAGCAATTTGTCTGTTGGTTCACTTCCAGAGCCTTTGTTGGACATGTGGAGGAAGAGGTGTTAGTTAAGATCAGCATTGTTACACAGCTGCATTCAGTAGCTACCTCCATCAAAAAAACAAGGCTTGTGTCTTGGCATGAATGGCAATCCCCCTCCCCAGGCCATCCCAGCTCAAACCATCTCAAAGGAGTGGCCAGTGATGGATCTGATCCAGAGAAAGAGTGTGTCTCTCTCTTGACATCAGTTATATTAAAGACTTGTCATAATCACCAGCTCCACCAATCTTCTCAGCCATCAGCTCACTTACCATGGTATGGAGAATGTGATTTGATTTGTCCATCTCACTGTGGATGGACACTCACCTTCTCTAGGTAGGTGTAGAGGACAGTCTTGGGAGACAGAGACCCTTCCTGGAGTCTTTCAGTGAGTCCCAGCAGAGGCAGGCAAAGGATGGCATCTGTCTGGACACTGGGGACCTGCAAGGGGAAGATGAGGGGGATCCAGGGCAGCAGTTCCTGTTACACTTTGGCTCAGAGGGGGTAAGTCTCTTGGATCTTGCCAACATTATCAGAGCTTGCTGGAAAGGCAGATCCTGCATGTGAGGGTTCGGATCTTGAGCTGCCGAGTGTTTCATCCTGAGATTGGAATGTCACAAACAGGATGCAAACACAGGAGCCCAGCTGTCTCTCAAGGTAGAGAAGAGCTTTGCCCATCCTCTGCAGCAGAGGACATGGCAATGCCTTCCCCCTGGCACCATGGGATTTACCCACTGCCCAAGAGGTAGCTTCAGCTGAGCAAACACTTCTAGGGCAGAAGGTATCAAAGTCCTTGCACACAAGCCTCAGGCTGTCCCTTCATCCCTCAGAATGGGTACAGGCAGTGCAGGACATCCTGGGCTGAGGACAAACATCCAATAGCTCAAGCCCAGCAAACTGCAAAGAAGTCATCAGGGACTCACAGGTGGGTGAGGTCTACCCAGGTAAAGAAGACTGGCAGTTTTCAGCACCACCAGCTTTTAAAAAGGTTTTTTTAAATCATATATATATATATTATTTTGTTTTTTAAGAAAAGAGGTTGTGGAGATATGTATCACTTGTACCTGGTATGTTACCTGTGAAAATATGAGCTGGTTTATCCAGTACATATTCAAAGCAAATGGAGCAGAAAGAAAAGGTGTTGAGAAATGAGTGTTGCAGTAGGAATTCAGGGCCACTTCCATGCTGGTTGGATGCCTACCTACCTCATTCATCCCCATGTCATGTCCTGGTTGCTCCCAGGGGACACTGAATGCCCCACCTTCATTAGTGTTAAGTTAGACCAGACATTTTCTGGGCAGCTGGATGGATTGGGAGGTCCCACTTGCTGGAAATGCTAGTGAAAGCTCTTTTGAGGATTCTTCAAAAGCCATGCAGAAGCCAGGTTTTAGGGGCAAAGTTATAGGGGTATGGACAGACGTGTAAACTTAAGAGTTAAGAAGAGGCAAAAGCTTTCTTACTTCTAACCATAGAGGAAAGAGATTTCCAGATTTTGAAAGAACTGAATTTTGGATCAATGAAGGTCCAGTGCTTCTTCATCTGTGTTCTCCAAAACCTCTTCCTAGTGAGTAATTCACATCCCCCTGGCTGTAGACTCCCATCTCGTCTCATCCAGCCCGAGGAGAGCAGTGATCTCCCTTTCTCTCAAGGCAGACTTTCCTCTTGTTGGGGGCTGCTGGCACATCTCCTTGTTATAAAAGCTATGGGGGCATGAGCTGGAAGGAGAAGCTGAAGGACAAAATCAGCAGACACCCTGGTGGGACTCAGAGCCCGCAGAAGGATGGGTTACCTGCTCCCTGAACTGCTGGACAGCCTTTGCCATTTTCTTCAGACCCTCATCCCGGGTTTTCCGAGCTTCTTCCATTTTCTTCTGGATCATCTTTTTGCCCAGCCATTTCCAGACCACCACAGCTGCCACTGACCCGCCAAGCAGCGTGAGGGCAGCAGAAGTATCCACCTTCCTCTCTGGCAGGAGCTGTCTCAGCTGCTGCTGGATCATGATGTGGCCTTCGGGTCTCCAGGGATGGAGTGAGAAAGCAAAGCAAGGCAGGAGCAGGAGACCCTTCCTGCCTCCCCAGACCCGTCCCTCCTCTCAGCACCACTGTCTCGGGTCAGCAAATAGTTCAAATAGTTCAGTCTGAAGCTGACCCCTGCAAAGCTGTCATCTGTGGAACGTGCAAGGGAGAATGATTAACCAGGAAATGGAAAAGGTAAAGTTTGGTCAGTGAACCTTGGGGTGTTGGGTCTATAGGGGCTTTCTGGACTGTGGGAAGCTCTCCACTGGGAATGGCTAAGGGATCAACTGAACAAAAGAAACAAGGAAATAGCCGTTCTCCTGTTTCCTGTGTAGCCTGAGAGGACAATGGGAAAAGGGGAAAAAACAGCTTGAAATTGCAAGACTTCCTTGCACAGGGATGGGGAATGTATGCTGAGGGGATGCACAGCTGTGGGGTACCCTCAGCTCACCAAATCCCTTATGCTGCTCCCATGGTGGCCAGAGGCTGTTGCAGGAGGTCCGTGCTCAGCATTGCCGTGATGTCTGCATGCACAGGGAGAGGCTGTTCCACTCCATGACAAAGCACGCTGGTATTGCTTTAGGAGTGGAAAATTCCACAGGCTTGCAGGCCAGAAGCAAACTATTTCCACCAGACATTGGAATAGCTGGTGTCTGACATCTTTCCAGCAGAGATGACTCTCACTACAAGCACCAAGAGCCACACACTCAGCTGAAGGCAACAACCCAGCCAACATCAGTCATGGTCTGTCTGCAGTCTTCTCTGTTGGTTTTGGATGGTGGGTCCTCCCTATGGGTTCCCCCTTGGAAAAAGTATTTGGGCAGCTATGGATTGTGCATTACAAAACTTTGCAAGATTCTAGTGGAGTGTGGAACTGGATGTGGAAAGGAAGCTGAAGAGCTCTCTCCCTTCAGGGCTAGGTAGTCCTCTAGTGCTCAATTTTTCATTGTCACGTTCGTTCTTAGCAGTTATAAGAGTTCACTGCTGTCTTCTGTCACAATTTGTGTCAGTAGGGAATGTTCTTAGCTTAGTTCTTAACTAGGGAAATTTATGGACTCTGAACAAAATTGTCTTTGGCGTCCTTGCAGAAACAGTCTGGAGCTGATGGGAGTTAGCAGCATGGTAACAAATTAGTCTGGCCTTTTATTGTGTCCCTTCCAGCAGCATCTTCTTTGGAGGATGCCTCCTCAGCTATGGCACTGCACGGGGACATGCCTGCAGCGCCTCAAGCTCCTGCTCCACAGTGCTGGCTGCAGCAGGTGCCTCTGGAAGGCTCACGTGAACAGGGTCAGCACGCGGCAGTACCGAGCTCTCTCCAGCCTCCAGGAACTCACGTGAGCGCTTCCTGAGACAGAGGTGGGCACTTTGCCTATGTGACAGCACCAGAACCTCTGTGATGGGCTGAGCAGATGTGGGAGGGTTTTTTTCCCTGTGCTAGGATGTGTCAGGGCATTGGCCTCCCACATCCACTTGCGCATTGGTACCTGTGCTCTGATCCTGCCCTTCAGACACTTAGCAAATGTTTAACAGAGACAGGGACAGCTGTGTCCAGGCTGACTTGGCATTTCAAAGGGCAGATTTTCAGCAGGCACAGCTGCATTTCCAGATGGCTGGAGGCTGCTGAGGAAACCCCTTTCCCTATCAACGTGTGAGCATCTCCGCATCCTTTGTGAACCAGAGGTAGGGCTCCTCCTGCCACCACAAGGCCACACATCCAAGGGAACCTAAAGCAAGGAAGCAAAGGGATATCCCAAGTTAAATCTCAAGTCCATAGCAGAGGAGACAGACCTACTTGGCTCTCAGGTCAACATTCACTTGTCCACAGTGTTTTGTCATTTGAATTGATCCAGGTGCAAGGTCAAACCCATCAGTGGTGTTCAGATGAAAGCCATGCATGACCCTTTTCACAGGAAGAGTCAATTCATAGCAGCTGGGTCTGGGATTTCATTGTGGCACCCACGACACCTCCTTCATTGTGGACTATCCCAGAAAAAAGGCAGTCAGATAAAGTCAGACAGACCATTCCTGTGCCCAGCAAAGGCTGCACCATATTTGCTTGTAAGAGCAAAAACTGCACTGACTTACTGTCATCATGTTACATCAACACCTTCAGGTCTTAAGCAGGCTGGGTTTTGACATAAACTGTTTATAACTAAGTGTCTTTCCTCTAAATTGGTAATAAATATTTTTAAGTCAGTTTTGACTCAATTTTTATTAAAATGATGAAAAACAAATCCTGACAGCTGCATCTTGTGTTCATGTATTTGTAACCAAACGCTCTGGTGCTCTTTTTCAAAATGATTTACAAAATGAGGCATGTTAACTATGCTGCTCTGAAAGAATATTAAAGACATTTCACAAAATACTGAAATCATAGTGATTTGGGCTGGCCCCCTCTGGAGAACTTGTTGCAGTTGGCTCAGAGGGCTGAATAAATGTTTTCTGGGAACTCTCCAGTTTCTGACTCATTTCAGCCTGGAATATCTATTTGGAGCACAAGACTCTCCTCAATTTCAGTCCAACTCCACCAGCACTCACAGAACATAACAGCTGGTAAGAAACTTGCCACTACCAAATCTGCACCTCTCCAACAATCAAGAACATCCATTGAGAGGTGAGGGTTTGTCTCTATCAATGCTTTTCCATGTTGCTCAGCCAGGACCTTGTTGGCTTTCCCTGAATAAACTGCAATAGAATGGGAAGAGACCTCCCGTACCAACCATGACACCTCTGACAGCAGGGGCTGCTCTCTCTCTCCTAATCATCCCTATATTTTTCCCACTTTTGTGAATATTGCACTATTTTCCTTGAGCCTTTCCATAGCCAAGTGGGTTGTACGGATCCTACTTACAACTTCTCCAGCAAGGTAGAGACATGATCAGCAAAGATGCTGTAGAGAGCTGTTAGTTCTTCACCAGAAGTCCAGGAGCATTCCTACTTCTTCCATCATGTCTGGTGTCTTGCTCACGTCTGTCCCCACTGAGTGACAGCAGAGACTTCAGCACCCTGATGGTGAGGGACTGGGATGTTCCCAGCTGCTCCATGACTGGGCACGAAGCTGACAGCAGGAAGCTGGGTGACTTGAGTGAAAAGGAAAACAGTGGCAGGAAAAAACAAACAAACAAACAAAACGAGACTGAGACTGTACTTGGTGAGATGAGGATTTGTGCAGCAAACAGCTGTTTCAGACTGAAGGATGTACCAATCCTAATTTTGGGGGTTTTTTTGTGTTTCAGGGGTGAGCTTTCCTATGTTCAGGTGTTTCACTTCACCTCCTTTTTAAACATCTGCTTTTAGCTACTTCAACTACCACCTCGAAACTTGTTTGAAGTGAATGTCTGGGATCCTGGAAATGTTTGTGCCCCTAATGTCCTCTGTCACTGCCTGCTGCATCACAGAGCTCTGTGTGCTTCTGATACTGTAAGAAGACAACTGACCCATTCTAACAACTCAAGTTCTGCTGGTATCAGTTTTCTAGAGAGTCTTATTTGCTCCTGATGCTGTGACTATATAACATTGTGACACGCTAAATAAAGAAAAAATCCTGCAAAGTAAAGTAAAACCAAATAAAAAAGCTGGATTGCCTGATGATTCAATCTCTCAACCTTGCTTGGTTATTTATCTGGTCATAGAATGAAATATGGGTTGAGGAGGGCAGATCTAAATTTTTATCAAAATCAAGAAGGAGGAGGAAAAATAATCAAAGCAAAGACCACAGCCAGGCTATTGTGCTGGAGATGAAAGAAACTAGTAAAAACAAAGCTCTTTTGGCCCAAGCAGCATTTGTACATAATTCTCTCAGACAGACCACAGCATGGACTTTGGTCAGTGCTAGGCAGCTGAACAAGCACTCTGCAAACACACAGTGTAGGTCTGCAAGGGCTGCACAGCCTGAGCCAACAGCTCATGGTGAGGAGCTGCAGAAGGCTTGAAAACACAGCAACACTGGGTGTGGGAAGGGGCTGACATTCCTTCTCCAGTGTGGAGGAGGTCTGGAGGAAGAACTGTCCTGAAAACCTGAAGTTTTACCCTACTACAGGCCTCTCTCTCCTTGTATTTCAACACCTGAGCTCACCAGAGTGCTCTCAGCATCACCCTCCCTAGTTTCCTCCCACATTTATGCAGCAGTGACAACTGACATCATGGACCACCTGACTTGAGAAGGGCCCCGAGTTTTACTCAGGAATGTGCTTTGCTCTCTGTCCAGCTGAGGCACTTACCTGCCCTTTAAATTCCTGAACAGACCCCTAAATCAGGTCCAAACTTGTATCTTGTTTCCCTCACACCTTGTCCATCTTCTTCTGGACATGTCTTCTCCACCTCATTCACTTCAGTACCAGGAGAGCTTTAGCTGAGCTGAGACCAGGTCTGAGAGCATCCAGGCACTCTGCTTCAGTTGTCTGCTGGATCATAGTGAGAACTTCCCTTTGGGTGTTGGGTCCTTGGAGCTACTGCTACGGGACCCTGAGATCTAGTGACTGGCTGGAGGCAGGAGAAAGGAGAGTGGGAGGAACAGTAAATCCCTTCTAGAGCCATCCACAAGGAGCGGCTGGAGTGCAGAATGCAAGGATGGATGGGGAAATTCCTTTTAGAAATAGGACTCTTTCAGCCCTGCACAGGTACAGAGGGATAGACAAGCAAAGGACATTATCCTTTCCTTGAAAAACAAGGTCTGTGCATGCTCAGATCTATCCAGGAATACTACCTGGGCAGGTTACCTGTTTAATGGTGAGCTCCCATCCTCCCTATGAGAGGGCAGCTACAAACCTTTGCTCCTGGCCTGAGATAGTGATGGTCATCCGGCAGGATCTCCGTGGGTGGTGCCCCCAGCAGCAGTCCTGTGGAGCCAGGGCATCTCCTTGGAGCAGGGCTGTGCCATGGATCTTCTCCTGGCTGTATGGGGATCAGAGGATGATGAGTCAGGCTGCGTGACTGTGTCACGCTTGCCGTGTGACTCAGATCTCCCTGTGGCCATGGGAGGTGGCTGGGTGACTGCAGCATCCCTGCGCTGCCCCAGGGAGGCAGGAGAACAACAAGGGCACTGTCACCCCTTGGCTCTCTCCTCCTGTTGGGAAAATACTGCCTCCAGCCCTGGTGCCTGGAGAAATATGGAGGCTTGGAGAAGGAATCATTGCTAATGATCATTGCTAATGATCATGCCTTGCTTCAACACACGCCTTATTTCAACACACGCTTATTCCAAGCGTCTGCTTCATCACTCCCACCTTTCCCTCCAGTGTCTTCATTCACCTTGAGAGCAAAGGATGGGTCAAGAAACAGCACACAGTCATCACGGTGTTCTTGGAAACACCAAACAGTGTGAGTGGCCTCAGTGTAGACACAGAAATGCTTTCTCAGTTTTCCCTGAAGTGTTTATAGGCAATAAAATCACATCTTTTCCCGTTGTTTAACTGGAAGAAATGATGAGGAACAGGAGTGAAGACAGACCAGTCGCCATTTCTCACAGAATATTAAGCTTTCCACTACTCCCTGAACAATTAAACTGCTGGATGATGTGGAGATCAAGGAAGCAAATGAGTTCAGGAAGGGGACCAAGGAGTTTGTGGAGGAGAGCTCTCCTGGCAGCTATTTAAACCGATGGGCTGACTGCAAGTCTTTGCCAAAAAGTCTCTTAGCCAACCAATGGCACAGCCAGAGAGGGAATTCTGCACTTACCAGGTTATACTCTCCCACAATCATCTGCTGCTTCCCACTGCTGGAAGTAAAATATTGCAATAAACAGCCGTTTGGTCTCACATCATACAACAGATATTTTTTCACTATTGTCTTGGGGTTCCTCTGTTACAGCATTAACTCTCATTCCTTTCTTTTGCTTTTTTGACTCAGTTTAACAATGAAGGACAACTTAGACAGGGGTGAGATTTTCGCTATTTTTAAACAGCATTTTGTGCCAGTTTATTGAAATGTTATTTCAGAGACTTGCTATCTACCTTTGTATCAGGTAGAAGGTGGCTGGAGTGAAGGGCAGGGAATGAAAAGTCATCACAGCAAGGGCTGGTTCCCAGAAATCACACATTTCTCTTTGTGTTGTGGGCAAGCGTCTCCACCTCCTTCATGAAGCGAAGGCACAGCTCCTCCTGCCACGGCAGAGCCACGCACTGGACAGCCACTGGCAACCCCACAGCTCCTTCCACAGCCTGCAAAAGTGAAGGACAGTGCTGAGTCAGGGCACCAGAGCACCCAGGGAGACACGAGACATTGTGGGAAGAGAAGGCAGAGGAAGACAAGCAAGGGGACAGCTGTCAGGCTGACACACACCAGCCTTGCTGCAGCACCACACACAGGGTAGTAACACAGAGAATGCCAACTGCATGGCTAAACCAGCTCCCACTCCCATCAGGAGATGTAGACAAACCTCGGGACAATGTCCCAGAGGTGTCACTGTGCCAGTCATAACCTTCTTCTATGATTTAAGCCTCTTCCCCCCTGACCTCTTTCAGCCTCTTATCCCAAGGGTCTCTGTAGTGCCCTTGGTAATGCTTCAGTTCCTCTTTGTCGGCTCTCGTGACCGTGCTGACCAGCACCACCCCAGCAGGGAAGTTCAGCACGTTGTATAAATTGGTGTAGGAGGTCGCAGCTGGAAAAGATCACACAGAGCATGCAAAATGGCAAAATTCAGTGTGCAGGGCCAGCAGTGGCTTTCAGATGGTAATTTGGGTTGCAGGAATTGTAATCTGGAGTGGCTGGATCTGAAGAGACCCTGAAAACATGCTGCCTCAAAGGGACCTTTTTGATGGAGAGGTTTGAGGGCCACATGGCTGCTGAGACCAGAGAGAGACCCACACCTTCACCTCTCAGTCATGTGGAGATCAGATCTGCTCTGGGAGGGACAGACATGAGTATTTGATCCGATTCACAGTCTGCATCTATATCTCCTACTCCCTGGGGAAAAGTCTCAGCTATCTTTTCAAGATATTCCTGATGTCCAGTTATGTTAACATCATCTTGGGGATTTTGGATCCCAAAAGGTCATTGCTAGGGAGATGGAGGACCCTGACTGTTTGCTGGAAGCTATAGAAAAATGCCTTTTTTCTGCCAGTCACACGCAATGGGCTTTTCTGCTTTTTGCAAAGTCCTGGGAAATGTGAGACAGCTGCATTCACAAGAGCCTGGCCCTGTACCAAAGTCTACCACCCCTCTGACATCCACTCCTCACTGCCACTCTCTGCTGCAAGAGTAGCTCCTGGGCTTTCTACAGGACAGACAACGGAGGGGAAACTCACTGATGTACAACTGGGGACAGATGTGCCACTAATGGCTGCCCCATAATAATCCCAAACCAGCAGCTCAGATGAAGTGGGGACCTCAGACCCACTGAGGTGACCTCTCCCTTGCTTTCTTCCACAGAGGGAAACTGAGCAATGTACATGGTTTGGGGAATGTCCAAGAGACCAAAATATCTTGCTCCAGCTCTGCCCACAAACACGGCCAGGGATGCACCCGGAGACACCTGAGTGGAGATTTACCAAAGAGCTTCCCAGCATAGCTGTGGTTAAAGGCTGGCCCCAGGGCAGGACAAAGGATCACATCCAGCCTCAGCTTCCTCCATTTGGCAATGAATTCCGTGTGGTAAACCTGGGAGGAAAGACAGAGGAGATGACAAAAGTGTCTGTTGGACAGCAGTAGCAGGTCAGTGCTGACACATAGGAAAAGGAGGGGAAAAAACCTTCCTGGATACAACTAAAAAAATAAGATAAAATCTGAGCTGTGCCTTGAAAGGGCCTTTGTTCTTCCTCCTTTAGGTTTCCTGTCAGAATACCATGTGCTGCCCAGACCTAGACATTAATGCTAGGTGTGCATTTCTCACTTGATTTCGTCAAGCATTAACCCAATCCTTCCCATGAACAGTTTTGTTTTTGAATTGTATTTAATGGAGATCAACAGCAGTTTGAAGAATTAGGTCTGGCTGACTAAAAATCACATTTCCTAAAAGCTTTGGTTATTTCGATAGAAGGTTCTAAAAGACATGAATCCAAAATATTTTCACAAATACTTCTTTCATTCTGCCTGGGGATACAGGTAAGGAAAAGAGGCAGCAAGAGACAGGAAGGCAAGGCCCAGGACATCCCCCCACAATGCAGGAGGCACAGCTTCAGGATTGTCCTGCAGATCCAAGAGAGACCTAGGTTTGTAGTCTGGTCTACTACAGCTTTGCTGAACATCAGGCAGCGAATTAATCCATCCTCAAACAGCTGTTCCACTTTGTCTTAGCAAACAGACGTGGATGGACCACAGTACAGTTGTTCCTGCAGCCACAGTCTGGTTACATACAGACACATGTCCCATGGTCCCATCCCTGTTGTGCACAACTGTCTCACTCCCAAATTTTCTGTACAAGAGTCTTACACATCTCTCACAAAAGCCCTGGCCTTGGGGCTGTTTTTCAGCCTGACCTCAATTTCCACCTGCAGTCTGAGATTCTTCCTGATGAAAGTTCAACAAATGAGATGGGTTTCCAGGAAATACTGGCAGTGTAACTATTTTTTTCTTTTTTTTCTGAGAAAAAAGCTGGTCACTAGCCAAAAATTTTGAATCGGCTCTTGTTTGCAGTAGATGAAAACATGTGAATATTGTTTCACTGAACAAAACCAACTGAAAATGTCTTTGAAGCCATCAAACCTTCTAAAGACTTTTCTTTTTTTTTGGGGGGGGGGGGGGGCGTTCCTTTGTTTTGTTTGTTTGTTTGGTGGGGTTTTTTGTTGGTTTCTTCGGGTTTTTCATGTGTATTTTTATGTGTATTTTTGTGCTGGTTTTGTTTTTTTGTGGTTTTTTTTGGGGGGGATGGGAGAGGAATCTGTTTTCACCTTAAAAAAATCCCCTAACCCATTTCCTTCCAAACACTCCCACCAGCCCAGTGACCAGGCAGCTTTGCAGGAGTTTTTCCTCTGCCCTCTAATTTGTCAGACCAGCCTGCTCATCCATCAAGTGACTGGCACTGATAGAGGCTGGCTGGTACAGGCTGGGGGCATGTTTCTCCTCAGGGAGGATTGTCAGGGTGTCCCAGGAAACAGATCCTGCCCTGAGGGTGGACACTAAAACAGCTCAGCCTCTTCAGCCTTGCAAAACACCAGCTGAGAGAGGATACAATTGCTCTCTATAAATAGCCCTAGGAGTGAGGCAGAGGAAAATACCAGAGAGGTGCTATTTACACTCAAGGACAGAAATAAAATAAGGATAAACTGGAAGGGAATAAAGAGCACGGGAAATATTAAAGTTTCCAACCATCAGAGCAGGGAGGAGAGGAACCAGTCAATAAAATCAAATGCAAGCATAAAACTCAAACGGCTTAAAAGAGGAACTTGATCAGTTTGTGGGCAGCACTGGACACAGCTGCCCAGGAGAAAGCTTCCTGTCCTAGGTTCCACAGAGTTCACAACCACAGTTTTTGACTCCTGCTTTGTCTCTGCTTGATTGTTCAAGCATGGCCTCAGCTTGTGACAACATCATCTAACGTCTGAAATAAAGAATTTGCACCGAGAGACAGAAAGAAGAAAAAAAAATGAAGTCTCATTTTTAATGATTGTTCTTACGCTATTTTTGCTTAGACAATGCAGGGCAGAGGATGATGATTCGTTTCCAACTCCAAGTGGATTGCTGAGTGTGAAGCAATTGCTTAGAAACTTTAGAAATCTCTCACAACATTTAGTAAGGAAAAAGGGAAATAAGAGTCACGTTACCGCCACCGCTCCGTGCTGATCCCAGAGGTTTTTGGCAGATCTGGAAAAGTGACAGAATTAATCAGCTTTGTGACTGTGGCAACAGAAAAGAATTAGGAAAATGCACAGACAGCCCATTTTTATGAAAACTGCATGACCATTCTGGGAAAAAGCTATGGCATCATCCAGCTGATTTAGCTGGGTTCACATGTGCTTACAGGTGCATCAAAAGAGCTTATGTTAAAGCATGGCAGCTTCTTGGCCAGGGCTATTAAAAACTGAATAAGTCTTTGTTGTGCTAACAGGTAGAAGTCATCTTGTGTCATTAATAGAGCCTTTAGCCCAAGCTGGCACGAGGGCAGGTTAGGTGCTAACTTAAGCCTGGAGGAAACCATGGACACTATTGCAAAGTTTGATGCACTTTTGGGGACACCTTGCAGTTTCCCCACCGGGTGGAAGAAGAGGACAGAAGCTGGGATGTACCTGATCCTGTTGCCTGTGTGTTTGAGCCCACAGAGCCCACAGAAGCTGGAGGGCAGGCGGATGCTGCCGGCTACATCTGAGCCGACGCCCAGGATGGAGCCTCCCCCTGCGATCAGAGCTGCCTCCCCTCCCGAGGAGCCCCTGGGGCTCTTCTGGTGGTTTAGAGGGTTCAGAGTCTGGCCAAAGATGAGGTTGCTGCAGTCGTAGCTGGGGAGAAGAAGATCAGCAGGTGAGTGGGGTACTTCTGCCTCTGCAAACCATAAATACAGGGCACAGAGCATCTGTACAGGGATAAGGGCGGAATTAATCCCAGCAGGTAGAATCAGCATGAAGTAGATTTGTTGGAACAGCTGAATTTAAGGAGAAAGAGACATCAAATACAAGATAAATCATTTCAGGTTGAAATAAGGAGGCAATTAACTCAACGTGCATGATTAGCTTGGACAAGGGGGGGGAGCTTGCCCACACTCTCTGTGATAGCAAGAGTCACGTATCATAGTGTTTTCATGAAGGCAAACATGCAATTACTTTATCATTGTCTGTGGGATGTCGGTTTTCACAAAGGGGATTGCCCCCTGGTGCTTTAGAACCCGGTTGATGACGCTGTCTTCTTCCTTCACTTGGCCCAGAAACTTCACCATCCCTCCAGAGGAGATGTGGCCCTTGGGGATGAGAAACAAAGCTCTTTACATACAGGAGAAATCCTGTTTGCCACAGGAGGCATCATGATTTATGTCTGTTACTGTTACAGTTCCAAAGTTCCCACCTAAGTTTTCTCAGAGGCAGAACAGGACCTGACTACCCCAGGGAAAACCCGATCAGAGCGGGTTAGAAATTTCTGAAGAAAACAAGATTTCATCAGAAGAAAGGCAGGTTTGCTGGTCTCACAATATTTGATCCAGATTCTTGTCTGAGAGAACTCTTAGCCAGTCCTGGTGAGGATGGGACATCCTGGCCTGTTTCCAGCTCCAAGCCAAGAGGTAGGGGAACCAGGGGTGTACCTTGCAGTTAATGTGGTCCTTGATGCTTATGGGAATGCCATAGAGCAGCCCCTTCTCCTTCTGCTTCTTCAGTTTCTGGAGCTGATCCTCACAGTCATGAATGAAGTCTGTCACACAGTTCACCTCCTGGTTCACCTCCAAAGCCTCTCCAGAACAGAGAAGAGCAGCAAGACAGATGGATGGGTGGAAGGAGACATTACTTATATTTAGTTTTCAAGCTGAAAATTCAATCTTCTCAAACCTTCAGCATTTATTTTTCAGATATTATCTATAAACTTTAGGTGTTTCTTTCTGGGATAATTTTCTGCCCTGGATCTCTGTCCTACTTACTTGCCTGTAAGCCACGTTTCAGACAACATAGTACTGACAAATTGTAATCCCCAGCATTGCTGCTTCTCTCAGAAAATGAGCTGGTTTTTAATTTGAAAGTCCCACTGTCCTCCATGCTGAAAGTATCACTCACTTTGTCCATGTAGGAGTAGAGGATGCTCTCTGGGGACAGGGACCCCTCCTTCAGCTTCTCCACCAGCTCCATCATTGTCAGCGAGAGGATATGCGTGGTCTGGGTGCCTGGGTTCTAAAAAGAGTAGGAAATTGGGTGCAGAGGGAAAAAACCAAAAGAAAAAGCTGATGTTGAGGCTGCAAATACTAAGGCTGCAGTTCTAACATCTGCCCAGCAATCACCTTGAACGGAAAATTTTAGAAGACATGCCCTGTACAAATGCAGACCTCCCACAGAGCACTGCGTGTGCTGGAGCAGGGAATTTGCTGACAGGGAATTTGCTGAGTCTTAGTTCATAAAACCAGGATCCAAACAGGGAGAAAAACTGCTCCTTGACTGGAGAGTTGTGTGAACCTGTAAGAGTGGTTTGACCTGTTTCTATTTGCTCTCCTACAGGCCTTCACTCCTCTTCTAACTCTAACTCACTGAATAGCAGTTCAACCAGCTAAAGTTTTACAAAATTTATCATTAACATGGGAAAAAAAAGCGTGTGGGCTCTTTGCAACCTCCCCTCCAAGAGAAGAATAGCAGTAGGTGTTTATTATGGGTCTAAGACAAATCCCAATTCCAAGTACCTGACCTCCTAAAATCCAGGTGCTTCTTTACCTGGGCATGGGCAGGAGAAAATGGCTTTTGGTCACTGATGTGCAGATGTTGGAAGGATGTGAAGCCCCCTTGTACTTTGAGGGTGATGGGGCAGTCAGGTCCCTATGGAGGGGGAGAGGTAAGGAGGATGGGAGAGGAAAGGCTTGGCAGTAGGGATGGATGAGGAGAAAGGGCATATGGAAGTCTGGGGTGGTGATCTGATTGAGAAGGTCCCAAGCTCCAATCCGTCTTTCATACTCAGAATTCTCTCAACAGGTCTGTATTAAGAAATACTTCCTTTACACTGTCTGTTATGGGAGGGGTTTTCATGACAGTGGAGGGTGATGACCCTTAAAAAATATCGGATTGGTGATGCTGGAAAACATGCATGTGCCCTAACCACCATTCAGAGAGGGATTGATCAGAGCTCCCCCATTTCTTTGGTTATCCAAAATATAACTCCTTCCTCCCACACACACTTTCCCCAAATTTACCTCTTGCTTAAACCTCCGAGTCGCCTTCTCCATCCTTTCCAGGGCCAGATCCCAAGACCTCCTTGCCTCATGCATCTTCTGCTGGACCTGCCTGTGTCCCAGCCATTTCAGGAGCATGACAGCTGAAGCTGAACTGCAGAGCAGAGCTGAGAGGGCACGAGGGTCCCCCCACGATGGATCCAGGACCTGCTCTTGGGTCATGATTTCTCTCCCCGTCCTTTCGGTTTGGGTCCAGCTACAGACACCTGAGTCTCCCACCTTCTCCTCAGGAGGGCAGATAAATGCAGACTCTGTGACTGCCCTGCTGTGCAGGATCAGCTCTGAAGCAGAGTTGCCTTAACAAAGTCCAGGAATGGACTTTCTAGACCATGGACTTTGAAAGGGTCTGCCTGCTGGAGCAGTGCTGTGGGTCAGGCTGCAAAGCCATGTGCTCAGCTTACTCAGTTTGGGGGGCTTCCCCAAGGCTGGGGTGTCCCCCAACTCTGTGTCTCCCCAAGCCACTGTCTGCTGCTGTCCCTGGCTGCACACAAAGCTGACTGCCTGCAAAGCCCAGGTCTGGGCTATCCCTACCATACCCACATCTATTAATTAATTAACATTTACACCCGTTAACTAGAGGTGCTTAGCCATCATCCCTGTCCTTCAGGCAGCATCACCTGCAGCCCTTTGAGCCTGGGAAAACGTAGCTCTGCTTTTTCTGGGGAACCTCATGCAGGGAGTGAAACTGCACCTGTGGAGAGGTGGGAGCTCAGGAGAATGAAGAGAATGCAGGTGACTCTGGAAATGCAGCATGGAAGGAGCCATCTGAAGATGCCTTCAAGGAGTATGGCTCCTCTGTATCTTTTTCAAGCCAAGCCCCTTTGAAAAGCCTTTTGGCAACCTGGATCAGAAGGTGAGCACTTTTGGGAAATCCCCTCTGGCAGATGCAGTGTCCTATCTACTCTCCAGTTTCCAAGCCATCCTCCAGCCAGCAGGATGCAAAGGAACTGGACCATGTAGTCTTATCAGCCCCAGGAGCTGCCCCTTGCCATGGGTGCTCCCCCTGCCCAGGACTGTCCCGTGGCTTAGTGTGGAAAGGAGGGGCTGAAAAAATCAGGCTTCTCTAGATCTTCAGGTATCTGCAAGCCCACAGGGAAGGAACAGGGCATGCCTCCAAGAGCTCATTGCCAAGATGCAAGGCAAGCCAGCTGTACCTGAGGAGACGCTGGCCCTGCTCCAGGCAGCAGGGTAGCAGAACTTGTAAGGGGACTGCATCCAGGGTAACCATTGCTCTCTGGTGGAGAGGTCTGGTTTGGGGACCGAAGCGAGTGATCGTGCTGCTACCCTGTTACCTTCTTGCCTGTTAGAGACACGCCTGGTGGGATTATTCCAGTGGCAGCAGGGAGGGAGCTTGGGCGAGAAGTGAGACCCTTAGATAAGTTGTTTGCTGACTGGAAAGGTGAGGAGGATCACCCCTGTTCAGACAGGGAAGGCTGAAGAACGAGGCAAACAACTCGGGGTGTACGTCACCAACCTCTCCCTGCTGACTTGCTGGGAGCAGCCTGCAGCTGGCCCTTTTAGCAGCCTCAAGTCCCCAGAGCCACCCAGCAGCTTTGGCCCTGCCTGGTGCACTGTCCCATGGTTGTGGCTTGCTGGAGGTCTTCACTCAGGGCTTCCAGTGAGGAATAATTATAGGCTCAGGTTCACTGGTGGCTCCGTGGTTTGGACTCCTGCACCCTGCCCACCTCCATGCCAGGGAGAGAGCAGTTAAACCAACAGTGCTTGGCTCACTGGCAGCAGGGGTGCTGGTGGCATTGCCTTTCCTGGTACGAGCTCCTCCAGGCTTGAATTTTAAAATACAAACAGATAACCCCATCCAGCATCTTCTGTGTGGGCAGAGAGCACCTGTGACTGGTGAAAAACCCCACCCTGACTCTTCTGGGGCTTTGCTTTACACAGTGTTCAGTCATGGAATGCCTGAAGCTCCCTCCCTCCTGTTTTCAAAGCCTGTTGATAAAGAATAGGGGTCCAGGAGCTGCTTTCTCCTTGGCTGTGATAAACATTCTCCCAGCCCTTGAAAAGACTCCATGCTTTTGCACAGCTCTGGTTTAAACAACAATAATACAGTAAAAACCCAAACAATAATCCTGCCAGAGCTTTGTTACCATCTGCTTTTAACATTCCCGCCCTGGGGAAACACTTTTGCATTCTGGTATTCCTTTCTGGAACATTCTTGGAAACCTGCTGGGAGCAGCCAGTCCTGCCAATCCCGGTGCCAGTGGCTGCCAGTGGCTGGAAAAACCTGCTGGAAAAGCTGGTATGGGCCAAAGGGGAGGAGAAGGTGTGCAGGGCAGGCTGTCTGCCATCCATCCAACCCTGGCACGCTGCTCAGTGCAGGCTTCAAACTGAAAGGGGGTGGATTTAGATAAGATGTAAGAAAAAATTCTTTACTGTGAGGGTGGCGAGACACTGGAATAGAATGCCCAGATCTGTGGATGCCTCATCCCTTGAAGTGTTCAAGGCTAGGTAGGATGGGGCTCTGAGCAACGTGGTCTAGTGGAAGGTGTCCTTGCCTGTGGAAGGGTGGGTGGAACTAGATGGTCTCTAAGGTCCCCTCCAACCCAAACCATTCTGTGATTCTACTGATTTCTCCTTCCTGGCATGCAGGGTGCCAGCAGCACTGTGCTGTGGGAAGTGGGCCAGCTCCCTTCCTGCTTGCCAGAGTCTGCTTTCACTTCAGATTGCTGGTCTGTGCTAGGGAAAACACCAGATTAAATCCTCAGGGAGCTGAGAACAGAGGGGAAAATCCCTGTTCCTACAGCACTCCAAGTAGGAGCCCAAGCATCTCTGACAAAACCAGTGCCTCAGTTTCCCCTTTTGTAAGAGAAAGATTGTGTTCTTGTGTTTCCCTGGGGGGTGTTGAGAGGGCTATTAAAATCCACCCCAACCCCATGCACAAACACAGACCTGAAATAACAGACTCAGATAACAAAAGGTACTGTATTAGGACAATGACTGGAGAACTCCACCACTGCAGAGCTCACCTTGCCTTCCCCTTGCACCCCAAAGCCAGCAGCAATCCCAGTCATCACCACATCCTCACTGAGGGGAACATGAGTCCTGTGGGTCGGACCAAAGGATGACCCACGCCGATGTGAGCTGGGATCCTGCTCCAAGCGAGCACGTGGGTCTCAGAAGAAACTGTTCTTCTTCAGAGCGAGTCTCTCCACCTCCTTCATGAACCGCAGGCACAGCTCCTCCTGCCACGGCAAGGCCACGCACTGCACGGCCACGGGCATCCCCACGCTGCCACCAAAGGCCTGGGGCACAGACAGAGTGGGAGAGGGCATGAGGACGTCCAGGCAAAGGGATGGGGGTGCCCATGCCCCTGAGGAACCTGGCACCACTCACCTTTGCCAGGGTCCGGTCCCACCAATCCCGATAGTAGCCCTTGTAGTCCTTCAGCTCCTCCTCATCCTCATCCGTCACCATGGTGACAGGGACCACGCCAGCGGGGAAGTCCAAGGCATTGTAGAGCATGGTGTAGCTGACTGCCACTGGGGGAGAGGGTGAGCTCGCAGTGCCAGCCTGACACAGAGAAAGCCTTCACCCCCCTTGGTGTACGTGAGCTCCCACCAAACAGGGCACTTGCACTGGGAACTCAAGGGCTGAGGGACAGAAACCGTCCCCTTGGCTCCCACATGTACCAGGGAGGTTGTCCTGGGAGTACCCCATGGGCTGGGACAGCAGCTGTCCCAAGGGATGAGCTCTTCCCAGTGCTGGCCAGCGCCCTGGGGATGTGAGGGGAGGAGGAACACTTCTCATGGATACTGGTGGAGTGCCACAGCAGGGCCATGCTGGAGGCAGCCCTACCTGAGAGCTTCCCAGGGTAGCCGATGCCGAGGGCCGGGCCCAGCATGGGACAGAGCATGACGTCCAGATTCAGCTTTTTCCACTGGGCAATGAACTGGTGGCAAAAGTCCTGAGGAGGAAATGTGCTGGTGGTCAGTGGGGTGGATGTGCTGTCCCATGGCTGCTGGTTGAGGCTCTCCTTGGGCATCCAGCCACACTCTCAGCTCTTCTCTGGGATCAGCCAACAGGCTACATCAGGCCTGATTCTGCTAAAATCCAGCAACCTTTTGCTGCCTGCCCAGCAGCCCGCTCAGCATACAAAGCACCCTCTCCCTGGTAAACCGGAGGTGAGAAATGACTGAGTGCAGGGGCACATGGTGAGCTGGGACATGGTCATGGGTCTTGAGGAAACAAGAATGGAAACAAAGGCAAGTCTGCTGCAGGTGATGACCTATGTTTTCAAAGTGTAGGTGTAAAAAATACAGGCCTGATTCAGAATCATGAACTTGTCTACATGTTGTCGTAATCTTTAAATGTGCTGCGGACTTGCACGTCCAAGTGAGATTGGTTGAGGAGTGACATGTCCCTACCTTACATCACTGATCATCTCCTAACCTTGGTGGGCACTGAATCTGCCTCTTCCCAAAGAGAAATCAAACAGAAACTGTCTAACCCCAAAATGCAATACTTTACCTCAATTTCATGATGAAGACTCCAGACTTCATCCACTGTGCTGAAAAAGGAAACAAAACCAATGAAAGGCATCAAAAGGTGTTGCAAAGAGAATCTTTAGAGGCAGGGAAGAGCAGCAAAAAAGCAGAGGGGCACAGGTTAGCTCTGCCCCTGGAGCTGCAGCAAGGGAAGAGCGAACTTTAGCACACCCTCTCTGCTACACAATCTGAGTCCTCTTTTATCTCTAGCTGCCCAACACTGACACTGCAGAGCAAGCCTCCTTCCCTGTGCATACAACTTTTTTCTGCCTTATGGGGTCCCTACCCTGTGGCATGATGGATGCATTAACCAGTGCTGAAGCAAACACCGTATTTCATTCCCACAGGCTTCATCCACTTCCTAAGAAGCTGTGAGCCCCTGCTCTCATTCCCACCTATGGCATTGACACAAACTGCTCTCAGTTTGCTCCCACCCTTGTGTTTTCTGCCTTGCATTCCCTCAAGCACGTGCAGCTGGAGCAGTGTCCCTAATGTAGCAAACACTGCTCCCCAGAAGAGAAACCCAAATCTTCACACCCTTGGTCAGGCTCAGATTTACTCACTTTGCTCTCATATTTCCTATGATACTTGAAAATCGAGGTACCTGAGAAGGAGAAAGAAAAAAAAAGGCAAATAACTGATGTGTCCTGAGACAGCTCAGTCACAAATATAAGCTGTTTACTCAGTGATCAGGCAGGACTTGTGGATTTTCCATAAAGTGGGGAGAGAAGGAACAGAAATAGCATCAGTCCAGTTTGGAGACGTGTCTGACCACAGCCAGGAAGCAATGCCTAGAGACTTCTCTATGATAAAGCCTTATTGCAATGGGAGACAAGTTATTCACCACATACTGCTTAATTCTGTCTATGCTAGAAAGAAATGGAGCTTACGAAAGGTTTGGCAATCCAGGAGAGGAGAGTTTTCAGCCAGTGTGGTGACTGTGCCAGCCAGAACAGCAGCCCCATGCCGACTTTCTCAAGTTCCCCATTGCTGAAAGGGAAAGGAGTGTTTAGCTGAGCAGTGGTAGGA